TACATTTTTGTGCATACACTTAAGCGACATTTACGTTCTGGAGTCTTACCTCACGATAACACTTTTAATTATGATGGTAAAAGTATATTAAATTTTACGCTGACTTTTATTTAATGAAATTATGTCTCATAGTAATTCAAGAGCATTCGCATAACTTGAAAACCTGCATTCCCACCCAACCCCGTCCCAAGGTTTTGATTGAAATTCTCTATATCTCTGGTATAAGCGTCGTGTCGTATCGACTGAATGTGGTGACTTATCTCTGTATTCACCTAAGTGAATTTCATTTCAATACTTTTATTCCATTGTATGGCCAAAGTATTTTCTAAATTATTTATGAATTTTTGACAAAACAAACCTCTTCGAACTTTAATCCCAGCCCTTATGTTACACTGGAGATACGTGTACGACAGACATTTACCGAGTTCGAACAATAGCGATAATGCTTATTGTAATAATATAGCCCGTTGCTGTTTTCATGCAACTGCTCCTCTCCTCCTTGTCGTCCCCTCCTCCAATGTGCTTCCTCAGTTTCGTCAGACCAAGATGAAGTCTGTCTGACTTCTCATGTGTCCACCTGTTTACACAAGCTGTCCTCCACCCCACCACCCCCACAAATTACCAATGCATCGAAGCTGCAAAATTCCCCAGTGGAACTCCATTCTCATAAATCTTCACCGAGTGCCTTTCCACTCATGATTAGTTCTGTTGCTGTACTATCCACCTTCGGTTTGCTATTCATATCACCCTTTAGAATTTCGATGTCACCACCTATCTGAAGCCTTGTTTGTTACTGTTTGAAGCTGTCTGTAGAAGTACTCCTTCTCTCCCACTATGTTTGAATTGTTAGCAGATGCATAGCGAAGCATAATTGTGCTTCTTTTACCTTTTGAGTTGAATCTCATTGTGATTATCTAGCAGAAGATTGATTCCCCACCACTTAACAGCTTTTGATGCTATTGGCGAAATCACTGGTAAACATTCCGTCGGCGTGTCCCTACTTGTTATCTGTATGATTGGAGTAGATTATTGACTCTATCATTCTTATATTATATCATCTTACTTACTCAGACTTCCAGGTTTCGAAACATAATCAGCTCATCCCATGTCCGCATGTTTATTATTACTTCCACTGAAAGAAGACACATCGACTGACAGGTTTCCCGAGGGCTGTCACAGTTGCAGAGTGGAATACGTCTTTGTTTTATTTATTTTCATTTCATGCGTTTTGAGAACATTCCTCACAGACTGGACTGATTTCCTGGGGTAGAAGTTGCTAGCCCTGTCCTGGACCAGGACAAGTTAGTCAAGTAGTGGACTGGTAAACCCAGTATTGGGCTTTTAATGATTCCTAGTTAAGTTGGAATCGGAGTAGCATTAAAACGAAGGAACTCAGAGACAGACTTTGCCGGCTTAACAACCCAATGAATTCGATCATGGATAAATAATATAATTTACCAAATTTCCTTATTCAAACCATCAGGGTGGAATCAAAAAGACTCTGATGCAGCGCTTAACCAGTTGTAATTTCTGAGAAATATGGTCTGGTAAACTCTCAATGAAGTGGGACGCGCAATAGCTTTGACTCCGATTCCTCATCTAATATAGGAAGTGCACGATGCCAGCTTCACCATAAACACCAGTGGGTCTCCGTCCGGCCCTAGCTACGCAGCACGGAACTGCCTAATCACCAGCCACCTGTCCGTTTGTTTGTCGAACTCTGCTACCAATCGTCTAACCAATACCTTGATGTGAGTGTCGGCTGGAATGAAGGTGTGTAAGGCAAGTTTCCAAATTGTTTGGATGCAATTGTACAACTGTGAACAAAAAAATTTTGATTGAAAAGTCATCCAGTTATCAATACTGTATCACTAAATTTCATGTCAAACAAATTTATATAATGTACAGCTATTTTCTTCAACTGACTCTACCAAAACCCTTCTTGTTTAGAAGTTCACTTTATTTAAATTAATTTGCACTAAATATTCTTACTACTAATAAGTAGTGTAATTTCCACATGAAATATTACTGCTGTCAGTTACAAGCATTAAACGATGATGATTTCTGCATCTTGATCACAGCTTACATTTTTCAGTCTTCTATTCAACTTATACAGCATAAGTGAAGTAAAGGAAAAACACTCTGTCAAACCTTCCCCGTTGATGGTGATTGGTGCTTGTTCTTGTTAGTTAGGTATTTTCATCACCTCTGTTTTCTTTATTCTCACCTAAAGTACTGTCTCTGATGCCTGTCTCTTCTATCAACTTGTTGTTTTTCTCCTATGAGTATTCTAGTTTGTGTGGTGTTAAGCATAAGACGTGGGTGGAATCCAGACATTCTAGAGTCTTATTATTGGTGAGTGCAGCGTATTCCTGTCTTCTCACTCACTTACTTACTCCCAACGTACAGTCTGAAGCAAAGTCCAGTCTACCACAATAAGAAATAACACCGGTGATAATAGGCAGCCTTGTCTTACTTCTGTATTCACTTCGAACTCCTCGCCGAGTTATTTGGTGTCCAGGAGCAGTTCAGTGGTGTGATGTCTTCTCAACGCATAAATGTGTGCTGTATGAGATATCGTAGAGTTTTTTTTCACTTGATCATATGAGCATAAAGTCTTTTATAGTTGCTTCTAGTTCTGTCTGATGAGGTGGATGTAAGCACAGAATTGTGTATCAAGAGGATTCTCAGATCCTGCCAATATACTATTCTCCAATTTCTTGTAGGAGTCCAAGTGTCTATCTACAACAGTACAAACAAGTTTGTTTAGTAGTGTCTCCCTTGCCCTACTGACGGCTTTTAGTGCTCTTCTCAGAGTAATAAGGAAAGCATTTCATCAGAAGCCTAGAAAAGATGAATTTGTGGGGGAGCAGTAAAGAAAAATAGTAGAATACAGAAATTATCAAACTGTGTGTGATATCTGACTGTCTTAAATTCATCCCACTGAAAGTTGAACAAAATATCTTTTTAGATATGGGAGAACCCGCTGAGATCAGAAGAAATACACAATCCAAGTTATCTAACATTTGGCTTACTTAGTTTCAACTTCGGCGACATTATTGTTTGATAGTAGAACCATGTGAATGACAAGATGGTGGTTATAAAAATAATCAGCCAACCAACAACAACATCCACTGCCAATCATCATCAACAGGGGGGTTTCAAAGAGGTTACTTCATTCACTTACTTATCTAGGGAGCATCGTCTCAACTACAGGAAGTCGGAACGCATGAGGATGTCAAATTGAGCGAGAAACACATTCACTCATCAACCTGAAACAACCAATCTGGAAATCTTCGTCACTCAGCCAGCATCAACAAAACAATTCGGTCGGATTTTCAATACAAACAGCGTCAAGTCAGTCAGTTCTTCTATACGGATGAGAAACTTGGCGTGTGTGGGGGGGGTTCACAAGGAATATTTCCAACAGCCTGTTTCAGACCTTACCTTTATCAACAACTAACTGTCTTCGCTGGATCTATACTGAAGATCAGATGGCCGGGCCGGGTCGGAAAGAACCACCAACAACAAGAAACTATGGTAAGGAACAAACAAAACAAGAACCGATCGCCAACCAACATCAAATATGCAGGAGAAAGTGGAGATGGATTGGACACTCGCTGAGGAAGCCGCCGCTGGGTGACATCGCGCGCGCGTCAGGCCATTGGTAGAGTGGAACCAGGCCGAAAGGGAAGCACGCAGTGAGTGGGACGTCAGTGCAAGGGTGACATGGAGGAGATCGTGTGGAGAGGAGTTGGAAGAGTATGGACTAACATGGATGCAGGTGAAAAGTACAGCAGAAGGAAGACAGAAGCAAGTGGAGACGTTCAGTTGAAGCCCTATGTTCCACTAGGAACCCAAGGGAACAATAATAATAATAATAATGTGAACATACCAGTTCACGTAGGTCGTACTAATGTCTTAAAGTGAAATTAACACCCTTACATTTAAATGAATTTAGCTTTAGACCATTTGACAAGGAGCGCTGACTAATTTATCATAAAAAGTTGTTCATTTTAAGAAGTAACCGACATTGAAACAGTCAAATCATCGTCATGCTTAAAAAAATTGGCTTCATGAACATGAAGCAAGTCATGTAAGAAGGAGGAACACAGAGAAGAAGGAAGAATAGCCTCCTGAATTAGGAACACCAGCTGGAGTAAATAAAGCAGTGGGGAGTTTTCCACTGTATTACAGTGAACTACTTCCTATAAGAAAAGTAAGGATGAAACCACTTATTAGTCCAACACTCCACTTGTTTTACAGTAAGCCTGGTTAACGAAAGGGGCTAAGGTGCAGAGTCGAAGGCAGAGGTGTTGTAATCAAAGAAGTCAGACTGAACATATTTAGCACCTCTGTCTAACCTAGAGACAATATTATGATTTGAGACAAAAGTGTCGGCTAAAAGGTACACCTATCGTGTTTATGAGCAAATTATTTGCTGTTGTCAAAAGCCTTCAATGACGGTTCAATTTAAAAAGTAAAAACAGTTATTCCATTATTTTTTTGATCCATTTAATAACTCCTTCATATGAACAGCTTTGATATTCTTCAATTAAGCAGGTCTAACCTTAGTGGAAAATGATTCATTGAGAAAATATCCGTGAGAAATATGAGATAAAATGTCTGTGAATTTTCTAAAGATAATAATTGGCAAACCATCTACACTTGGACCATATTCCAAGTAGAACATGGTACTTTGGACACGCATATCATGAACATTTCACACAGTTCTGAAATATCTGCTTTGACTGACTCCACAGATCTCCCGCACAAGCTTAAATTCCCTCATCACGCAGTCTTCCCTAACACCCGACTCATCGATTTCCATTCAGGTTCCCTTCGAGGGTTTGGATGTTGCATCACTTGAATGTCATAAACTAGAATATACTTCCAATAACTCCCTTCATATTTGATTCTTGCCCATTGTTGGACAATAATTCTAACAGGTTACTATTGTTTAATCATATATATATATATCATTCCTTTCTCCTTTTCAGGGGTGAACTAAGATCATTCATTGGATCCATGCTTGTTGCCGCATTCTCCGGCGTCAGCGTCTCCTTCGCTATACTGAGTAAACGATTATCAGCCTTAATTGGCAATGCAATCTCACTTTCACTGTTACCGCCAGCAGTCAATTGTGTTAGTCATCGATTTGTTATTTTCATTATTATGATTATTAATATCATTGGTGCAGAATAACATGGATTCATTCTATGTTTCGTTGGTCCTCATCATCTGCAGACTACCTACTATACTTTTTAATAAATAAAAGTCAGAGTAAAATTTAATATACTTTTGCCATCGACAAGCATATTAAAAGAATGTCAGAGTCAGGTAAGACACCAGGATGACAAGGTAGCTGGAGTGGAAGTATATATATATATATCTTTCGAGAGACGTTTCTTGGAAATTTTTTTAGATTACAGCTTGATTCGACACTGCATTTTTGGTAAAAGTATGGAATTTTCAGCATAGATATCGGTAGCCTAGATTTTGCAGGCAGACGATAGATATCAGGTGTGCGTCGGCAGGGGATTGAACCTCGAACCATGTGCATGGTCAGCGAGGGTCCTAACCACTGTGCCACCGACGAGCATGTTTTGGTAACAAAAATAAGTCAGTAACATTGACATAGTTAAATAAGACTAGATCCAAATTCGGTGTGCGAGGGGTGAGATGTGATATGGCGAGTAGAACTCATAAGTTCAAGAGGAACCACTTCTTATGGGAGTCAAAAAGAAGGAGAACACGGTGAAGGTGTCGAGGGCTGGAGTAGGCTCTGAAAAGATGAGATGAATATGAAATCGTAAAATGAAGTGTTCACCTGATAAATTAGACATTGAACTAATGCTGTTCAAAAATTCGTTGAAGGAAAATGGTTAACAACAATGCTTCATTAACAAGTATGGCAAGAATGAACGTAGGAAGCCTGATGCGGCTGCGGTCAGCAAGAAGCCAGCTTTCATATGAGTTGACTCCAACGGTGATGGATGATACTGTGAGATTCATAGACAAATAACCCTAAAATGTTATCGTCAACTGTGCATACCAATTCACATGTATCTCGGAAATCACTTCCGTTGGCAAAAGAGAAAGAAGGCCCCACGTCAGATTCTTCGAACATGTACCAAGCAGTTTCCTATTAAAGGAGCCAAGCAGTCTAAGCTCTCCATTTACCAAAAACACCTGATAAACACTGGACACCTAGTAGACAGACTCACTGGGATCATACAAAATAATTAACAGACGAAGTAGCTAAAGTCTTCTATCAGTTTGTTGAAACTATCTCAATCAAATCTCTGAAGCTTGACCTGCATGTCGAGAGGGAATCTGAAGTTGGAGTCCAATCATCCTCGTGACTCATCTCTTACTAACTCTTGGTCCTCTGACTTCACTAATTTATCGTTTCAGTGCTCCCCCTTCGTGTTTTCGCCTGTTTGACTTCCATAAGAGATAACTCTTCTTCACCTTATGAGTTCTGCTCAACCAAATCACATCATCATCATCTTCGTTGTCTTCTCATCTGACCTCACACACACACACACACACCAAATTTTGATCTTCTCTTATCCAACTATGTTATTGTTAATGACTTATTTTTGTCACCACTTTAACAACAAGTTAGTCAATTTAACTCTCTAGAAACTTCTCTCCAACAAGATACATCTACATATATGTGCTTGCATTTCAGCTACTTTTTCCTTCTGCTGTGCTACCTCACGATGACACTCCTGTAATATGCTCGTTAGATTTTACTCTAACTTATATCAATTAAAGATGATCATAGATGGTGGTGTGTGCAGGTGATGAGAAGCAACAAAACATAAAGTGGATCCAAGTGTTATTCTGCACCAATGTTTGTTCTTCCTCTGGTTAAATTCAATTACAGCGAATTTTTGTATAAAATTAATATATTGTTAATTTCTCTTACAAATACTACTACTACTATTATTATTATTCGTAGTACTGAAAATAGACATGTCCAGTGTAATAATCCTGTGCTTTATTCAATCGATTCATACTGTCTGTTGTAGTCAGTTGTGACCACAGCCAACACCATTTCTGTAAATTTTGCGATTAGGGCAACTGAAATGAAGACAGAAATGTGCGTTGGCGGCACAGTGGTTAGGACTCTCGCCGACCATGCACACGGTCCGAGGTTCGATCCCCCTGCCAATGCACACCTAATACGGTCTATGGTCGGCCTGAAAAATTTCGGCTACCAATATCCATGCTGAAAAAAATCCATACTTGTACCAAAAATGCAGTGTCGAATCAAGCTGGAATAAAAAAATAATAATAATAGTAGTAGTAGAAACAAGCCTGCACACAAATGTAAATCAAATATGTGCTTGGGTAACGTAATATCAGTTAATTTTCCATGTTAACATGTGTATTTTATTGTTTTATCACAAGACCAGGTCAATACTGACTGATTTTGCCAGATCACATACATTAATACATACATGATTATATATATATATATGTGATAACTATGTTTTTGACTGTCGCACTTCAAAGACCTAATTCTGATGAAAAAGGGATCCAACCAATTATCAATTTCAGGTTAAATGGAGAAAGGCTTATTTGCTAGTGTGTCAAAGAAGCACGACTTTAGCCTCTGCAAGAACTGGCACTGGGATCATCCTGCAGTCCATACCAAGTCAAATATTTTCTTTATCGACGAAATCATCTTCAGAGGCTGTACAGTTTTATTTATATTTACCAAAAATGTATAACAGTCTATTAATGAGTAATAGGGGTGGGTGACATAATTGATATAATTAATCATAAATGGCTTTAGAAGTGAAAAGAATTAAAAGTTGTAAATTACATGATACTTAACGGAACAAAGATAGAAGTTTGATAAGGTTAAAATTGCTTTTCGGTGAGAATAAAGGTGGTAGTTGAGTGTGAAGAGGGTGTGAAAATATACAAAAGGAGCATATGAGAGTGATAATAGTGAATTAATTATTAAAGCAAAAGCAAACTAAAAGTGAAATTAAAAATTAAAAAACAAAAGAAAAAATCAAAAACCTTTTTTTTTAAGGGAACGATTAGTGAAGAGGTTAAGACCAACATCATCTTGCATAGTGGTTGAGCAAGGGACAAACAAGATCTATCTATTCATAGTTCTGTTTTAGTACACCCCGTAAACAATAGGCATAAAGTTGATATTAATACAGCATTGAAAGTTAATTGTCAAATTCTAACTGATATTACTTTACAGGATTTCATCATGAGCTGACATCGGTTAGAAAACTATTGGAAAAGCAGTCGAGAGTACTGGACATATGTTTCGTACTAGTCTGGGACTCCTCAGTAGTATGTACCTTTGAGGTTCGAACCCGGGACATTCAGGTTACAAGGCGAGCGAGCTCGTAGACCATTCTCAACCACTGAAACCCGATCCTCATCTGATATGTAGTCTGCTTTGTTTTGACAGTCTGGTATATTTTGCCAAACGTATGTTGATCATTATTCCATTATAACTCACAATATATTTTGTCCGTCCATTAACTAAAATAAACAACATATGACCTTTTGTCACGTGACATTACAACCAATCAGAATCCAATGGTGGTAAGAAAAACTCCTATCTGCCTTATTGGTTCATGTGTGTTGGTTATTTTCATATATACTCTAGTATTGTACAGTTAATACACACATGTTCGTTCACACCTTTAGTACACTTTCGTACTTTTTCACTCACACTCTTGTATGTGACAGTTAATTTTCCTTTGTTGGAAAATACACGTATCCACTCGTGAACGTGGTGGTCTTCTGATTTACCTGTTCGCATCAGGACAAATTAAATACTCAACAATACCAGTCTGTACGTTATCGTCCGTTATATCTCATTAGCGTATATTTACACACTCGGTCACACCATAATATTGGCAACGACACCATAACATATTGGCGATGGGGATGGGATTCGAACCCACGCGGGGAAAACCCAATGGAGTGCACTACTCCAAGTCTTTATCAACTTCACTAGACGACAATATATGATAATGCCATGTGTCAGGTGATCCATAAGGATAAAATCAGTGAAACCTTTGAAATCAGTACATAAGTAAGACAAGGCTGACTTCTGTGCGGAACACTATGAGTGGGGAAACGGAAAGAGAGGAACACGCTGGATAGATAAAAATACTCTAGTAGATCTCGACTTGGTGGATGATGAAGAACAAGATGCGAATTTTCAACTGCAATGTGAAGTCAGTGCTACTATACGGATCAGAGACTTGGCGCCGCGCCACGTCGGGTCGCGTCACGAAGGGCACTTAGAACATACTGCAGACTCTTCCTCATTAATAATTGTCTTCACTCAATACTCCGCTCAAAATCAGACTGAGGGTCAGAAAAAATCAGCAACAGGGATCTCTGGCAATGAACTAACCAACCAAGCAGGAACCAACTGTGCCACAAATATGCAGGAAGAAATAGAGGTGTATCAGATTGGCAATACTCTGAGAAAACAAACCATCAAGTGAGTGACTCTCTCTTGACTGGAACCCAAATGGGAAGCGGAGAGTTAGTCGTCAGTGCGAAAGTGACTTGGAGTAGTTCACGCAAAGAGGAGATGAAAACATTTGGGCAGACGTGGAGCCAGGTGGACCGAACGCAATAGAGACGTATGGCTGAAGCCGCATATTACTCTAGAAACTACAGGAAACAATAATAATTAACTGACATCAATCGGTGGGAGGGGAGCGAATCTGCTTTGAACGCTTCTCATATTAATGGATTAATAGACTGCTAACACAAGCAATAATAAAAAGTGTTATTTGTGAAAACTTTCCTCGCTCATAGTTATAATAGTTATTAAGAACTTTAGGGGAGAGAAAAAAAAATTAATGAAGCGATTTATCTGTATCAAATCATCAATGAGTTTTAAGCTTATCGATCAGGACCAGATAATGAAGGAACAATGAAGGAACAGATAATACAGAACAATACTCATTATGTAACAACAGAAGACAAGAGCCGGAAACAGATCATTTTTTTACGGAAATCAACACGTATTTATATATATTTCATGTACATTATTATTATAGCTTATTCAAGTAGACAGACGCAGTCTTCTGATTGGTTGTTTTCGAGTTTCTCAGAAAGTTAAGCCATACACCTACGAATCATATTTGCCCACGTTTAAGTCTGCCGTGACTGGTTGTTGAGTCAGCCTTGTTCACATTTTCTCACGGTCAATATTAGTGACCTACACATTGACGTAGATTAATGTCTACCAATTGGCTAGCAACCTGCTCTCATCACAATAATTCCACTAGAAAAGACCACATTAACAGTTAGAATTAAAATCGATCAGTGACAATAATTGGACCATGTGTTTTTAAAAAAAATACTAGTAGAATTTATTTTAATAGCAGTGTGACTCAGTGATAAGATTATAATTTAAGGAATTGAGACACGTACGTGAATGACTGATTCGGACTTTCACTAAATATTGTGAACAACCCTCGAAATTGGAAGAAAAATATGAAAAGAATCCCGTTCTTTTATTTCTCATCGCAATATACAATTTTCTTTTGTCATTGGTGACAAAGTCGGTCAACTTGACAGGACAACATTTTTAACAGCAAGCGGAGAGTATAAAATTGTCACTATCGTCATCCTGATGTGTAAATTCTTCCCAATAGGCAACCTTCTGTGTAGGTGACTGAGTTATTTCAATAAATGAAGACCAACAGTTTGTGCAAAATAAGGAGACGGTAGCATCATTTATTTCGTCGGTTTCTCATCAGCTACGTACAACCTAAAGAATTAAATTCACGTTTATGTACAGAATAAATTTTTTTAACATACTTTTGAGTGCTACACAATGTCAGTTAATGATAGGAGACTCCAGGCTTAATAAACAGTGCTCAAAATTTAAAATTATATACCCTGAAAGTTCAGTTTTACATAAAACAATAAATGCTTGGATACACTGGCGGAGAAGTTCCGCAATAAAGCCAAGAGGTGGATAAGAAGATGAGTTACGAATAAACTGACTAACAATGCGTTGAATACAGCTCATAATCATAGGACAGTGCATATCGATCCAACTGTGTATGCAAATCTATGGAAAGAAGGGCATACCTCCGATTTTCTGAACATGCACCAAAACGCCTACAAATAGTGCCATTACCAGGTATCTTCTTGGCACGGGTCATGAGGTGGACATCGCAACAGCCTTCCAGATTATCAATAGGCAGAAAATCTCCTTTCTCCACAAGTTTGCCGAAGCCTGAAACCCTATTTATGTGTGTCTTCCCTTGCCCTGCTGGCTGATAACTGGATATCTTCACTATCTCTCTTTCATTTGATTATGTAGTCTTTGGCTTTAGCCCAAACTCCACTTTGATACAGTGTAATTCTGCTTGTCTGTTGTTTCGATGATCTGAGTAGAACTCAGTACATTGCAATCCGATTTATTAGTTACCCATCCATCATCTCACGCATCTCTCGTCTTTATCACGTAACTCCGCTACCGTTATATGCATACACTAATTACAATTGGACTTTCTGAGTAAAAGCCATACAAGTGTAATTTTCTGAGCACTGTTCACTAAGTCCAGAAGCTCCGATCAACTGCACATCATGTACAGTTTGCAAATACATTGAAACTTTTCTGTGCATGAACTTAATAATAATATTTTTCTTCAGGCTGCAGCAGCAGCAGCTGATGAGAAGCCAACAAAATAAAGAGTGATGATGGTACCATCCTCGTATTCTTCACAAACCTTCACTTTTGTTCTTGCTTTGTTCAAATTCATAAAGACTGGTGATAATTGCTTCTTTCTAAACACATACATCCGGTTTCGGTCGGGCATCTGACATCTGACCGCTTCAACAAACTTGTGGAGAATCTAACTATTTTTTTTGTCTACTTTGACAGTTTGAAGGATTTCATAAATGTCCACTGAATAACTTGTGTTGACGAGATTTCTGGACAAATAAAAAAACCCACTATGGACTTTTGATGTAATTACTCGCATAATAGGGGTACATCAGTTCATATCTTCAGCACAGTTTGGTTTATTTATTTCGGACATTTTTTAAAGGCTATCCCATGTAGAAAGATGACATAATGCACCTAATATTATCAAGCAAGAAAGAAAGTTCACATTTGCAGTATAAAATGATATCATGATTCTACTTTACATGTTCTCATCAACTGCAAGCCACTACCTGAAATTACAAAAGGTTATAAATAATGACAATAACATGCTTCAATGTTTGAATGGTAGTAGTAAAGAAAACACAATAAAATCAATGTCTCCAAAATATAAGCGGCATTACGGATTTTTTAGTTTTTATGTTACGATCTATTTATATGCCCTCAAAATAGAAAGGGAGAAGGGAAGAGAAGATTGGAAACAGAAATATTCAAAAAAGACAACAGTGTTTCCCCTTGTAAGTACACGTAGCAACACTCAAGAAGGTCATAGTCCAAAAAAAAAATTGGAAATTTACTGAGTGCATTGAAATCATCTGATATAGATGACTAATCAGTCCAAGGGAGTGTGATTGAGAGATTGATTACATTATCTTTCTGTATTCAGAAGTCATGTTTGAAACGCCTGATTACCATTGCTTCAGCAAATCGTAGTAAACCTGTCATCTTTTGTATGTTTAATATTTTGAAGGATTTAGAAATCTCGATAAAATGACCAGTATCTACAAAGTGTTCGGTAAATGCCAAGTTGTGAATATTTGCTTCCTTTTAGATATATATATTTCTTAAGATATGCTCTGTTAAGCAGCGAATAGAAGTGCTTCTTTCTGTCCTTCAAATGTACTTGCTGCTGCAAATACACGTAAATTTATAAACGCAGTTGAGGATGACATTAGGAGAATTCTTATCCAGTTTGGATTGGCTTCTAGAGCATGTGATGCTGTATAGTGTTGCGGGCTCAGCTTCATGGAAGCATCATTTCATATCTCCTTTCATTTTCTTGTGTCAATCTCCTGTGATACTTACTACCTCTCCTTTTAATAGAAGACAAATGAACATTTTCTTCGCTTCAAAAGTTGAATGTTTTGTTTTCTCGTCCTTCGCTTTGCTATTATACCTTTGGATAAATCCATTTGAATATCCATTTTCCCTCAGGCATTTCTCAATAAGGCTTATTTCTTCTTCTATCTTGTTAAGTGGACTTAACTTCCTGGCACAACACTGTGTTTTACAGTGTGCTTACTAATCCACGTTTAGAGGTTATAGGGCAGAAGCTGTGTTGTAGTGAAGATATTGTTCGGTTCACATATCTTTTCCATGAACTGACTTTCGGATCATGCGATCATTTCTTGTTCTTACATCAAGATCTGGGAAACTGAACTCATTGTTGTTTTATTATCCTATCTAATTATTTGTGTGGTTTTTTATTGTCACTGTAAGCATTTTTTCACTACTGATTAAGTAATAATTGCCGTGTCTTGTTTGTTTTTCAATTCTTTTTTTTTCAGGGTCATTTACTGCTGCTTTCTCTTTTGGCAATTTCTTCCGGGGAAAAAGTTCAGGTATGACATTCAATTCCTAATTTATACAACTAAGTCAAATACGTATCCAGAAAACAAAAGTAATCAATCAGAGCCGGAAATTATCGACACAAAATGGACTAATATCCTCTTAGGTTCCGTGTAGAACATAGCGCCTCAATAGCACACCTACATTTCATCCTATTCTCTGAAATCGCCTTTAGTTGGCTTCGTGTTCGCCCATAAACTCTCATCTCTCCCTCACACAACCTCCTTCGTGTCACCCTCAGATCTACATCCAACTCATTGTGAGGCATACAGTGTCATTCAGCAGTCTCTTCAGGTTGTGTCAAGTCTATTTCTATTATTTCCTTGTGTTGTTTCATCGTTTCTTTCTTTCCTTCTAAGAGTTCTTGGTTCGCTGATTGTTTCTTGCCACCTGATCTCCAGTACTGACCAAGAAGTCTTCGATACGTCTGGTCCCTGAGCCATATAGAAAAAACCACTTGACATTATTGTGTGGTGGAAATGCGACTCTTGTTCCTCATACTGATTTCAGTCAGATTAATGAAAGTCTACGTTACCATTTCAAATCCTTGTGTGTGCCACTTTGGTCTTAGTTGAAACGACATTGCTCAAGCGACAGCTTATCCGTCTTCTCTCTCTCTCTGTTCACCTAAAGTCCTATCTTCACCGCATATCTCTTCTATTAATTTGTTAGTTTTCTCGGTGCCTGTTTGCATGACGTTAGAACATAAATTATCGGAGAATTGTAAAATGCTGCGCTCTTCATAGTCTGTCGAATGATCCAGTTCACCGTAATCACGGCTAACATTGTTGGTGATGAAGGTCAACCTTGTTTTACTTTTATAGAAGGTTCGCTGAATTGTTCTTTATGGGCTACTTGATGTTTGGGATTTTCATTTAGCTAGTTAGTGAACGAGACTGATAAATACTTGGGGTGCAGAATTAGACGAAACACGCTGGTCAAGCAACACTTACTTTTTTTTTCGTCTCTTTACTTGGTGAGTGGAGTGTAAGGCGAGCTTAAAAGCTCCAGATTCATAGTTCTAGCACCTTTCATAGTAGCATTGCCAATTTCACGCTTAAATTTTCTCTTTACGGGAGTTACAGCTGGCTCAGCAAGGACTGAGAATGTGTAAGCCACGTATCGAGCCTGGTACTACTACTACATGCACAGTTGGAAATTATTCTCCTAATGAATCACCAATGCATACAAGAAGTAATCAACGAATAATCATCTCAGTTGTAGTGTCGTTTTGAGGGTGAATTAGAAAACATCCCCCCCATTCACTGCAGCATTAAAATGTACGTATACAGTTGCCTTGTTTTAAGTACTGTGGTCAAAAACTAAAAAGTCACTCAGAGAGGAGATCTTTGAGGACCAAAAGGGCACTGAGCAGCTGATTCGTGAAATTTAAAAGTTAAATGACTCAGATTATTAAAGAAAGAATATTCTCTTCGATAACTTGATCCTCGTCAGTTTCTGCAGTTACCTTGTAACAACAGAAGACAAGGGCGAGGCAACAGATCCTTTATTACAGAAATCAGCACGTATTTATATATATATATATATTTTATGTACATTATTAGAGCTTATTCAATCAGACAAACGCAGTCTACTGATTGGTTGTTTCTCGGAAGTTAAGCAGACAGAGGCAGTCTTCTGATTCGTTGTTTCTAGTTTCTCGGAAAGTTAAGCCATACATCTGCGAATCGTATTTGCCCACGTTAAATCTGGTGTGATTGGTTGTTGAATCAGCCTTGTTCATATTTTCTCACGGCCAATATTAGTGACCTAGACATTGACGTACATTAATGTCTACCGATTGGCTAGCAGCCTGCTCTCACCACAACCTCACCAGAAGAATTAAAGAAATATTCCTTCTGAAAACATCAAATGCTATTTCAAATTACATTAAATCAGTCTAACAATATCTCAATAGGTGATGACAGTTCACTAAAGCATCATCAGTCAGAGAGAGAAAGAGAGAGAGAGAGGTTATATGCACTAATATAACACTAACACTTAACTGGATGAATATCAGACAAATCAGGGTAAGCAACACACACCGAGTTAATGAATTTATAGGTTCCACAGAAGGGCAGGAGGGTAGAAATTATGACTGACTAGACCCGTTCCTCTTGCACTCATCACTCCGGTTGATATAAGCGAATTTTACTAACTTTTTTCTGTCTACAGTGTCGGCAATATATAGAGTGGCTTGATAATTTATTGAAAAAACCCGACATATGATAGTGGTACAGTGGATGGTTTTAAAGACACCTTTATTTTGGCTCACTGATGAGTGTTTCTAAGCATGAAAAAAGAAATTAAGTTTATATAGAGCACAAGGTCAAACTACCTGTCTCCATAGGAGCAGGTGAACTGGTTGATATAATTAGACATGGCTAGAATAGGTGCTTCGTCTTTCAGGTTTGGGATCAAAACTGGTTGTTTGGAGAATATCAGCTCCTCCAGTTTACTAGGAATTAAGCCTTCTTCTTTCAATCGATTTTCTGAGCTTGTCGGTTAATGATACTTCTCATTTGGATGTATATTACCTTTGAATTTCAATGGTACACAGAAAGAGCCTTCTTTCCTAACAACGACGTTGTTACCAACATTTCACTTCTTTAATTATTACGATCAAACAAAACTGGAGAATCTTACAAGAGGAATTTCTCGCAAAGAGTCTCCTTTAAAAATCTTTTAAATATTGTTTTTTGTGTTTTTCTGGAGTAAGTGTTTATGCTAAAGATACAAAATAAAAAAGATTTTTCATTTTCAAAAGACTGATTGCCAAACAAAGAACATTCACATTTTTGACAACTTCATCCTCCAGGTTCTACAGTTATGTATGCATCCGTCCATAATAGTGAATGAATTAGTGTTATTAACACCATTAATGCTGTTTAAATAACATCGAATCAATAATAATAATAATACCAGTGGATTACAGTTCGATAGCACCAACATAACAATAAATTGAATGTCAGTTGAATTAGGGGAAATAGCAGTAATACAAATTCATAAATATATAGTCTCCACTGAAGGCCGTCCAGGCCAGTAGTAGTGGCTGGTTGAAATTTTTGTCTTCTGCAAACAAAGCACTGGTTGTTTCACGCGAATCGCGATAGCCTCTGCTGTTTTCGGAGTATGGGGTCCCTAGATCCTTCCAGCAATTGATTTGCTGTCCGATAGATAATGATGGAGAAGGATTCTTCAGTGCTAACTTTATGGTTGGTTTGAACCAGGTGGTCTAATATCTAACTGTTGATGGGTTTTACTAAACTTTTACTCAGCCACACGAAAAATCAAGCTTCTAGAGCAACTGCCAATATAACTCGCTCCACAAGCGCAGTTGAATTGGAAGATACAATTGTAGAGGTGGCAAGTGTAGTCTAGGTACTTCATCTTCCGATTGAGGAATCACCACCGGTCGGTCGCGTAGAAAATAAGACTTGTAGTTTGCCAGCAGTAAAAGCTTTTTGAATACATCTGAAATTATTAGTAATTACTTGACTTGAATCCCAGTCGTGTGTGTAAAGTCTTCTTGTGCCACTGCGCCGGTGGCACAGTGGTAAGGACCCTCGCCGACCATGCACATGGTCCGGGGTTCGAGCCCGCACCGACGTACATCTGATATCTATGGTCAGCCTGCAAAATTTGGGCTACCGATATCCATGCTGGAAATTCCATACTTGTACCGAAAATACAGTGTGGAATCAAGCTGTAAATCAAAAATAAAATAAAAATAAAATAAACTTTCCAACTTTTCCAGTCATATGTTTCCTGATGAATTTTTCTGTATAGCTATTTTCAACCAAGGTACCATATACTATGCTTAATTCATCTTCAGTTACTTCTTCTAAGCATATAGCTCTAAACATATGGTTGAATGAGGGTCCTTATTAAATTTCTTTTGTACTGCAGAGGAACAAAGCTATAAAAAAGTGTATATTGTCCTGTCCATGTGCTTTTCCTATATATGCAAATTTCTCTTTATACTACCATCTGGTTTTCTTGTACGAAGGACATCTTGGAAGGCAATTAATTCTTACTTTGGGATTCCTCTTCACATGTGAATTCCTTAGCAGTATGTATTCTATTAAATTGAGTGATTATTGTGTTCCTGTCCAAATCGTTATCACAAAGAATAAAGGTGTCATCCACAAACTGACAATAAATCGAGAATTTTGTGATAATGTGGTTGAAAGGACTATTTTCTAGTATACTTAGAAAGAAATCTGCCAAAGTGGCAGCCCAGAGGTTGGCCTATCGCCACCCTGTCCACTTGTCTGTAAAATGTCCCATGAGATTTCAAATTAACATTCATGGTGTACACCTTATTAACAAAATTTTTTGTCGATTTCCTTCGAGATACCGTTATTTATCGACCGTTAACCATTTCGATTTCTTCTTCAAGAACTGAAAACATTTATTTCCCGATATGAATTGGACAATCATGCAAAATATCACTCGTTGTCAAGCGAAAGGAAAATTGCGCAGCATCTACGGCAACCTTTCAAAAATAAATACATTGATGAAAACACATATAGGAATATCAAACCGATTGGGTCACAAATCCCAAAACTATACGGATGTATTAAAATACACAAACCAGAAGCGCCGTTAAGACCTATACTTTGGCTATGGGAACCGTCGCAGTCCTTGCGGAGGCGCTTCGGAATGTATATAGTTTCTGATTCATTTCAGTTTGTCAAGCTAATCAAAGATTTCAGTGTATCTGATGAACATTTGGTCTCTTTCAGTGTTACCTCACTCTTTACAAATATGCCAGTCGTTGAGACTATCGACTTCGTATGTAAAGAAGCTGAAGAAATACCCATTCCAACATCGGAATTGAAGAAACTGCTGCTTTTATGTACTAAAAATGTCCACTTCCAATTTGACGGGCGTCTATTCCGTCAAGTTGATGGTGTGGAAATAGGAAGCCCTTTGGGACCACTTTTCGCAAGCTTATTCTTGTCAGACCTAGAAACCGGTACCTTGTAGCAACATATACATGAAACGGATGTATGCCTAAGTTATCTTGGTGACATTTTTATCGTCTGTGGAAAGAGATCAAAAGCTGAAGACATGTTGATAAAATTCAACTTATGCCATCCAAATCTCACTTTCACAGTAGAACACGAGGAAAACGATACTATTAAATTCCTGGACGTTTTTCTAGCAAAAATGACTGATGGCATAATCAAAAGATCTATATTTAGAAAGTCTTCATGGACAGGACAGTACATGCATTTCAACAGCTTTGTTCCAATCCAGTGTAAAAAGAACTTAGTCCGAACACTGTTCAATAGAGCACGAAAAATTTGTTCTGACAGTACTATCGAGCATGAAATAAAATCTCTGAGGGATATTTTATCTAAGAATGGATATCCTGAGAAGTTCATTAATAAATACTCTAAAGAAATTAGCCCATGCAAGACAATCCAAACAGTTCCGAAAACACCTGTCTATGTCAGTTCGCCATTCAAAGGGGATGATATACAATAAGTAGTCAAACGAAGACTCGATAAGGCCATCAAGAGAACTTATTCTGCTGCAAAACGTGTTTTTTCTTAACACCACTACGCGAGTACTCCAACAATCTGGGAAAGACCAGTCTCCAATCCTCGACACTTCAAACTGCGTATATCAATTTGAGGGTGTTTGTGGAAGCAAATACATAGGTCGTACAGAAAGGCGATTGTCTACTCACATGATGGAGCATTTGCCAAAATGGTTGAAAACAGATGGGTAGAGAGTGCAAAATCCTCAATAACAAAAGATCTTGTGGATTACGGACGTGATATCGGCGCGGTCAAGTCATTCACTATTGTCAGCAGACAAAGAAACAAGAAGATGCTTACAATTGTAGAGACTTGTGCAATTCGAGTTTATATAAACCAAGGTCTCTGTGTACAAAAGGAGATGGTTGTGACTCCGAATCTATCATGGTAACACGTCTTACTTGTTATTCTACCTCTTATTATTATTATTATTGATTCATTTAAAACTATCCTTTATCAGAAGGATTATCTTAATCCACTTAAACACTATTATTATTATTGTTATTATAACTATTACTGTTGATATTACTCTGTTTGCAATTCTTGTTATATTCTCTAATGACCAATTGTTCATCTCAGCGATTAAACTGAAGCGTAATGCAACTTATCTTAATTCTGATCTCTCATACTCTCTCCCCCCTTATCTATTTGAACATGACCTGGAAAACATTCGCAGGTGTCTTTCTGTATGACTAATTCAATGTAGTTTGTTTACTTATCAGTCTTATATCTCCCAATTTAATTTCCAAATTATATATATATATATCTCCGTGTATGCAGAGTATTCAGCTGACGAGTTCTACCGAAATTTAATGAATTCATTATATCTTGCTCTATTAACCAGCTTTATTGCTTGTTTCCATTTCTGCTGTGTTTCTCTTTTTGCAGTACGAGGCAATAACCAATAGAGAATTGAATCAAACAACAACTGTACATTATTGTACATATTCATGGATTCGACAATATGAATTCCTTTATATGCAAAATCCATGTAATGCTCCACTGGAATTTCTGTACGTCGGTTTATCAAGTTTCTGTCTTGTTACAATGAATATTCTGCTCATCCTAATCACTGGATATACAGTGAATAAGGTAAGAAAACAATTGATATATATATATATATATATATATATATATATATATATATATATTCAGCACTGTAATTATTCATGAATACTCCTCGACCATTATTATTATTATATCCCTTAATTCCTAGAGGAACATAGGGCTTCGGCTGCGCGTCTCCATTACCTTCTGTTTTCTGCCAACTATTTCACCCCGCTCCGAGTCTACCCACATGCTTTCATCTCCTCCCCTTCACATCACCTCCTCCAATCCAAGTCACCCTCACTCACACTGACAACGACCAACTCGCCGCCCGCTTCCCTTTCAGGTGCCACTCGAGCGATTGCTTGTCTAGTGATGTCACTCACTTGATGGTTTCCTTTCTCAGAGCATGGCCAGCCAATCCATCTCCATTTCTTCCTGCCTATTTGTTTCACAATCGGTTCCTGCTGTGTTGGTTCGCTCATTGCCAGAGATCCCACCCTGTTGCCGATCTTTTCTGGCTGGCCATCTGATCTTGAGTGGTACTCAGCGAAGACAACTAGCTGTTAATGAAGGTATGTAGTTTGTTTGAGATGCTCTTTATGACGCACTGGCCAAGTCTCTGATCCGTATAGTGTGTTGCACTGACTGACTTCACATTGGAGTTGAAAATCGGGATCTTATTCTCAGTTTCAGGCTGAGTGCTGTCGACCTCCACGCAAACTTCAGAGTAACGAACACTTGTCTTCCTTTACCGATTCTGGCTTTGATATCCTCTACAGTTCCGTTGGTCTGTAGTTGAGATGATGCTTCCCAGGTAGGTGGGTAGGTGAAGGAGGTTGTTTCTTTCAGGTTCCTCCCATTTATGCTGGCTGATTGTTGTCTGTTGTTGTGGCTGTGGCTGTTGGTGTTGGCCAAAAATCTTCATCACCTCTGTTTTATCTACCTTCACCTGTAGTCCTATCTTTGATGCTTCTTATGTCAGCTTGTCGCTTTTCACTTGCACATCTTCATATCAGTTTGTGGGAAATCAGACACATATATAACATCAGCGAAGTTCAGGTCCTCGAAGTACTTTTTTGTGTGAGTCCATTTTATGCCTGTTTCCTCGCTGACCGCTGTCTGTCGCATTATCCAATCTACTGCAATCAGGAAGATCATTGGCGATAGTAGACAGCCTTGCCTCACTCCCGTTCTCACTTCGAAGGCTTCCGTAAGTTTCCCATTGTGCATTACTTGGCATGCAGCATTCTTGGATGAGATGTTTAGTTGTCGATGGGACCCCAAAGTAGTAGCGAAGTAGTTGCCGAATGACCTCTCGATCGACGCTGTCGAAGGCCTTTTCAAAGTCGATGAAGTTGAGGGAGATAGAGAGATGACTGCCATTCCATGCTTTGTTCAATGATGATCAATACATGACTTGTTTCTCCTGAATCCAGCTTGTTCCGGCCGAAGTTTTTCATCATCGACCAGGCATCCCACTAAAAATGAAATGAAAATATAAGCAGTTAAACAATGAGGCTTTTTTTTCGGGTGAATTCATTTTTCTCACCCCAATTTTTTACAATCGCGAAGGAGGGCAGCAACATAAAAAGTGATGAGTGCTCATAATCATACTTTTTAGTTAATATCAGTCAGCGTATAAGAGAGGTTGAATGTCTCAACTTTGGAAAACAAATTTATTTTGATAAAGTCTCATCGTGTTCGATATATACAGTAATATTTATTGATGGTGACCAAAAGCTTCGAGCACAATTTACTGCTTGCCACACATTTGTCATCACACCACAAAGCACAAAAGCCATACAAATTTCCAACTTCGACTATATTGTTCCACAATTTTTCATCTCTTGGCTTCATTGGCAATAATAATTTCCATATTTCTGTTATTAATAATGATAAAGCATTCCTATTGTATGTGTTGGCGTGTAGTTGATTCGATGAATCAGCATTCAGTCATCTCATCCCTGTTCGTTATCTGTCTGTGAAAGCAGACAGACTGCCTGTCAGAAGATAGGAATTCAGCTGAGGTTCGTATGGTTGATCCCACGATGATAAGTAATAATTTAGAAGAAAAACTTAGCGATTGCAGTGCATGCATTAACACACAACAACACAACAAGGTGAGCAAAATAGTTAGATGGAGATAGAGGGAGATTCATTACTAAATCCTGGTTCATCGAGTCTACACACGCAACACATGCAGTAGGAGTGCTTCATCATCACTAATAACAGAACTATGGAAATTATTACTGCTAATGAAACCAAGAGATGACAAATAGTGGACCAATATAGTCGAAGTTGGAAATTTGTGTGCTTCGTGCCCTGATATGATGACGATGAGCAGCAGCAAAGGATATAGCCCTCCCTCCTGGGTGAATAGGCTTACAAAATACAATAGAGTCTTCCAAACACCTTGATCCTAATCAACAGTTCTCGAATATTTGGCATACGACTCGCTTCTGCTGCCAAATGTAAGGCGATGGATGTTACATGACTGGACTGGAGTGGACTACATCGATTACTCCTAGCTTAAAGATAGGCAGGTAGCAGTGAAACGGTGACTGACTAGTTAGTTGAGCGCATTGACCACTTACTTCATTTATTTGGGAATTCTCATCAGCCAACGCTAGCACGTTGATCTCATGGCTGACGAAATCTCATCACGGATGTAGAAGACTCGTTGAGCACTTTTCAGCCAAATTACACCATCTTTGGCTTAGTAGACATGATATCCGCCCGGTTGGCTGTCGACCAAAGTGCGAGTATACTGATCATCAGCAGTTCATTCCATCCTCCTTTATGGCTGTCTGGCTGACTGTGAGACATGATGGCTGAAAGTGGAACACATGAAAAGCCTTGCTAACTAGCTGTCATTGATCATAGGTGTCTGCGTTCTCTCTTGCATGTTAGGTGAGCAGTACTGAGGTGAGGTGTCAGTAGGTCGAGTGCTGGGTAAGGAAGCAGGAGTATGAGTCAGTTAACAGTGATATTGTGGATCAGTTACATAGACTGAAAGAGATGGTTAGAATATATGTTACACATGCATCCCTAGCCTTGCACCTTTCTCGACTGACAGGCGATGTTAGCTGACTGACATAGGATGGATAAGGTTGGGAAAGAGTTAGAGGTGGTGGTATTGGTCAGACCGAAACATGGCTTCACCACTCAGTGGAATCCACAACATTTAATTGAAGCCGACCAACGATCCACTTAAGAGGGTATAGACTAGCTGACTGTTTGGTTTGGATTCTCGGGGTGGTGGTGAAAGCAAACGAAGTTTGGAGACAACAGGCTCAAAATCGTTCTCGGTGGTGGCTGGCGCAGATGCATTCACTCTTTGTCACTTATCATATCTAATAAAACTCTACTGTTGTTCTTCCATATTACTATTCTCTCTCTCTCTCCCTCACTCACACTTCAGTTCATTATCTCTCTCTCTCTCATTTGAATCTCTGTTTACTCTCTTCCCTTGCTTTGTGTGCTACATGAAGGTAGGGTGGCAACTGGAAATGCTGCACATCTATGTATAGATCTACGTTGCACCAGTCAGTCAGTTAGTAAGTCTACGCAAATCATACTTACATTTGAAACTAAAATCAACAGTAAGACCTTAAGGAGGATTAAATTTAAGACCATTTGTTGGCTTCAGAAAATAAACTCTTCATTATATCAGAATAATCCAATACAGAAACGACTAGGATAGAGTATGATCAGATCTTCAGGATATTCAATGAAATTGGCTTAAGAAGAATATGGTAAGTCTGTGGTGAGAGCAGGCTGCTAGCCAATTGGTAGACATTAATTTACCTCAATGTCTAGGTCACTAATATTGACCTTGAGAAAATATGAACGAAGCTGATTCAACAACACCAATCACACCAGACTTAACGTGGGCAAATACGATTCACAGATATATGGCTTAACTTTCCGAGAAACTCGAAAACAACCAATCAGAAGACTGCGTTTGTCTGATTGAATAAGCTATGATAACAATGTACATGAAATATATATAAATACAAGTCAAGCGAAAAGAAATTAAGAAAGTAGAGCCAGCCTCCATGAGGCATACCAGCTATTCAGAGGGAGATAAAAATATGACCAATATATATTAATCATTAATAAATCTCAGAAAACGTGACGGCGAAGTACAAGAATAGCGTCCCAGGAGTGGGAACGCTCAAATGACCTTGAACGCATGCTAGTCGTTGGATAACGGTGCCTGTCATCATCATAGCTGAAATATCAACCCTATTCATTAAATAAGGAGCAAGTTTCACCCAGTTAACGCTTTTAATTACTGTTTGGACAATGTGTTGACATCTCGTTAGGGTTAGGATTAGGTTTAAGGCGAGTATTGGGGTTAGGGTTAGAGATACGGTCATAATTGGGATTAGGGTTAGATTTACGGCAGGATAAGGATTGCCATTTGGGTTAGGATTAAGGTTAGGGATAGTGTGAAATTTAGGGTTAGGGTGAGGATTAAGGTTGGCGTTGCGTTTAGGAATAGATTTGTCGTTTATTTCAACTTGTTTTATTATCCTCATTTTCCTTGTATGTAGTCGCCAATGCTCTTACTGAAACCATAGTGACTAAACCGAGGGCTTAGGAGAGGACTAGACAGGAAGAGAAGAGAGATGAACGATTCACAAAACAGCCAATCTTCGGTCAATTTGGTGAATACATCTACAGAAACTAGTCCAACTTAGCAACTGATACTCTTCATCATAACTGGGACGTATTTTTAAGTCATGCCAGGGACAGATAATCCGTTAAATGTGTTTTCATTCATTTCCTTGTGAATATACGTCATTTTTCGTGCAAAAATTCCTCATTTTTATGATTGGCTGTCTGAAGGTCACTCGTGCGTTTGCATCCCTTGGGACGCTATTGTTGAACTTTGCCAACGTGACTACTGGTCATCAGTTAACTATCCTGCCTGATATTTTTACTTTTCACAGAAATAACATCGCCGACTCTTTGTACTTATGCTTGTTTGTTTGTTTGTTTGTGTTTTTCTCATCTGTATAACTGAAAGATATTCATAATTGGTTTGTTTGTTTTGCCTCATTTTTCTTTCAGATAAAAAATTTAGTGCCTCTTTCATTTACAAATGAAATCACCAGAAGATTTTACCAAAAGGATTTACGAGCAAGTAAAATTGTGTTGTTGTGTTCAATCATACCAATATCCTTTAGTCGGTTTGTTTGCTTGGCTCTTTGTTTGTATAACTTTTGGTGAGTGTCAAGCGTGTGTGCATGTGTGGGCGTATGTGTACACACACCTTCAAGTTGCCGCTTTCAACCAAAATCAGCTCATCATGAAATCCTGAAACCAATCAGTCTGATGCTAACTAGCAACTGGCCTCCTATTCAGGTAGGTAGTTACCTGGGTTCTAGCGAGAAGGCGTCACCAGTGGGATACAGCTAGTCGGGTATGAGGATGAATACTGTCCACAGATGACATTGGTCGCTACCAGCTGCCCTATATCCTCTGTGAGTTGGCAGAAGTTGGAATTCATGAGCTGGCTGATCATCGGGTTGGCGGGTCCCAGTGGCTGAATGGTCTACAAGATCGCTCGCTTGTAACCAGAACAGCCTGAATTCTACCCCGATTGAGGCGGGTGAATACCATTGAAGAGCCCCAAACTAGGGCAAAAGAGGAAGCTGTTCAGTTGGTTTTCCAATGGTTCTGTTACCAATGACATCTCATGATAAAATCCTGAAATTTTTTATTCTTTCTAATTTTTTTTTTACCAGAAGATGACTCATTTTACAAATGACTATGTTTATTTTCCTGTGACTAACTAAACTTATTGATTATTCTTATCATGAGATTCAATATACTTCCTTTGTTTCTACTAAACAATCAATCGTAGTTGATAAGGTTGTTATTTAGTGGTTTGGTTGGTTTGCAGGCATTTGATTGGCTAAGGGATTTCATCATGAGCTGTCATCGGTTAGAGAACCACTGGAAAACCTGTGAGTACTAGACAGTTGTTTCGTCAGCTTCGTTTAGGACTGGCTTTTCAACAGCACGCACCCATCACCAGGGTTCAAAGCCAGGACCTTCAGCCACTGGGACCTGATCCAATCAAATCGACCAGCCAGTTCATGAATTTTAGCCTCTTCCAATTCAAGATATAGTGCGACTGGCACTAACCAATGTCATCTGTGATAAACAAAAATTATTCACAAAGAACCTATCAGAGTATTTTCAAGAGCTAGTTTATTGCGATTTGATCTGCTTCACGTCTAATCACAAAGTGGCAGATCATTTGTAGAACGATTGAGAAACAAGCAGAGAGTACCGCAGAGCTGTTTCTTTTGTCCTTTGTCTGTGACTAATTGACAGTACTCATCCACTGGAGTTCGAACCCAGGAGCTTCCGGTTACAAGGCAAGCTTGTAGACACCCCTAAGCCAACAAGGACCAGGTCTTTTGGTCAATGAATTTCAACTTCTGACAACTTTGTGATGTATGTTCAGCATAATCTTCAGCTAATGTCATGGGAAAGTAACTGTCATCTTGCCTGACTTGATCGACGGCACTGGCTACGAATTTTCCCTAGAACTTCAGGTAACTTCATATTCTATAAAGCCAGTCGCCAGTGTGTATCAGGAGAATTATCAAGTGTTGTCTGTGCAAGGCCCCAGTAGCTGAACAGTAGACGAATTCATCTTGTAACCCCGGAATGTCATGGGTTCGAACCCTCGTAGGTACACATACAGCTAAAGATTGTCAAACTAGAACAACCGTAGCACCCATCCAACACTTCTTGGCTTTCCAATTTTTCTCAAAATGATGCCAACTCGTTATCAAACTTGAAACAAATCACAGGATAAAAGTTTTAGGAAACGCTACTGATGAGATTTATCAGCAATACATAAAAAGATGTTCGTCGGCTTAAAAGCATCAAGCTGCAGGAAGATAGATTTGATGCCAGAGAAAGCGAATGACTCAGCAATGTGGAGATACATGGGAGACGTGAAAAGAAAAAAATAATGAGACACAATATGAAGGAAGCGCAAAAGTAGCAGGCACAACATGGAAGATCTGTGCAAATGGTGTGTTACAGATAAGGTATACACAATTTCGCTTTATACAGGTACAGAAAACAAAGGTGACAAGCGAACTAAACTGACGCCTGAAGTGTGGGTCATCATAAACATAACACTGAATACTTTGTTTGGACGCTCCGGCAGAAAAAAATAAAATCAAATATGTAGTCCTTGCTTGATGTTGGTGCTGATTCAATTCTAGCAGTCAAGTCTGAAGTGTGGCTACCATGCTAGGTGGCTGGCTCACCAGGATGGTGAGTTCTGAATTGTTGTAATTAGATGGTCGAAGGCAGTCGGGGGAAAGCCTTACCTATACCACAGTTTCGTGATTTTTGGCATTGATTCCAGTGTCTTGAAGGAACAGTGCATGTTCCTTCTGAGATACAAGTCGTCAACTCACTTAACGATGCAGTCAGAGACACCAGCACTGAGCCATTAGAGCTTACGACTGGCCTCCTTTAAGACTGTGTTACATACTATGATCGGTTACTAGAACTAGACACATCATATTAGTTACTTCTTAGTGGCAACTTCTCCGACTGCAAAACTAGATGACATGGGTACAAATCTCAGAAAGTTTATGAGTTGTTCCTTGAAGATTGCAGATTGGTGAGAGTCAAGACACACACACACGAAACCCAGGTCCAAGACTTCCTTCCAACTTTCTTCAACCAGAGAGTGTTTTTGAATTGTTTTTCCTTACTAATTTATAACCCCTCGGAAGTATACAACAACAATCTCATTGTGGAATCGGACCCTGGACCTTCAAGTTACGAGGTGGGTCATTCACCCCCCTGGGATGCAGTGATCTAATGATTCCGCTAGTTCAACAATACTCTCCATCAGTGCGTATTTACCCTTGTGGTGAGTGCAGGCTGCTGGCCAACTGGTAGACATTAATTTACCTCAATGTCTAGGTCACTAATATTGGCCGTGAGAAAATATGAACAAGCCTGATTCAACAACACCAATCACACCAGACTTAACGTGGACAAATACGATTCGCAGATATATGGCTTAACTTTCCGAGAAACTCGAAAACAACCAATCAGAAGATTGTGTTTGTCTGATTGAATAAGCTATAATAATAATGTACATGAAATACATATAAATACGTGGTGATTTCCGTAATAAAAGGATCTGTTGCCCGGCCCTTGTCTTCTGTTGTTATACCCTTACACCCAGTGTGATATCATAGGTGGTTTCTCTTGAAAAGTCCCAAACCAGGACGAAATAGCTGTTCAACAAAGTTCAGTATCCTTTATTCCACTTATATTCGCTTAAGCTTGATGACACTGATAAATCACCCTCAGTCGTTTAGACTAATGTATACACTAACATTATACCTATATGACAATGCCACATGTCACGTGATCCACAACGGAAAACTCAGAGCAACCTACCTTTGAAGTGAATAAAGGAACCAGACAAAGCCGACCATACTCACCAACGATGATATTCTTAATTTTGGTGGACTGGATTATATGCGTCAGACCGTGCGTTGGGAGTGACTCAGAAGACAGGAATACGCCGCATCGACTGATCAAAAGACTCTAGAAGATCTGGATTTCACGTGTGTATGACATATGTCATCGAATGTCACAAAAACTGTAACACCTAGAGACAGTCAAGAGCGGATAAACTGGCTGAAGAGGATGGTTGGCAGCTAAGATCGGTGGACTTCAGGTAGACATAGATAACCAGCTGACCACCACCACCACCACCACCAACAACAACAACAACAACCAGCAGCAATCATCATCAACAGGATAAAGAGATTTAACAGAGGTTACTTCCCGCCTTCACTTATCTACGCTGCAGCACCGTTTCAACCACAGGCAGTCGGGATGGATGAAGTTGTCTAAGCCAACCAGCCAGAATCGTGAAGGCGAAATACGCCTTCATCAACTTGAAATCAGTTTGGAAGGCTTCTGCACTCCACCACAGTATAAACAGCAACATTCGAATTTTCAGTACAAATACCAGTGGAGTGGGTCAGTCAGTCAGTCAGTCAGTCAGTCAGTTAGTGCTTCTATATGGGTCAGAAGTTTGCGATGCGTTTCATAACAAGTGCTGCCAGCAGTTCACCGCAGAATTTTATCAACACCTACCCCCTTCAATGACTGGCTCCGTAGTGAAAATCAAATGGCTAGCCAGAAGGAGTTAGCATCAAGAAACTCTGCCAATGAACGAAACGACCAAGAGCAGATCGCTCAACAAATATGTAGGAGAAAATGGAGATGAATCCGGCGTAAGCTGAAGAAAGAGGCAGTCGAATGACACTGCAGACAATTCAGGCCATCACTTGAGTGTGAAAGGTGAATGGAAAACGCGACAAGTGGATGGTCGGTACGAGGGTGACATGGAGGAGATTGTGTGAGTTGGACAAAGGAGGAAATGAGATATTATGGGCAATCGTGGGGTCAGCCTGCTGAAGAGGATAGAGAGAAATGGAGATGTGTTGTTGAAGCTCTATATGTACCCAGGGGAATAATGATGATAATAATAATAATAATAATAATACCCGATACTTAGATTTTATTAGTCTATAGAAAACATTTATACACCTCGTGAACGTGAAAACTGTTAATTTTTTAGTTTGTTACTCGATTTTTATAAGCTCAGATCATATTCCTTTGGGTAAAAAGATTAAAATATTTTATCAGAGTAAATTTAAACATCTTCGATAAAAAAAACTGAAGGGTGAACTTTATATGCGTGAGTGAGAGATAGAGACACACACACACACACACAGAGAGAGAGAAAGAAAGTAAATCGATAAGATTTTCCACTTGACAGACAAATCTGCTTGTAAAACCAGCTGGATATATTATGTATGATTTTCAGGTCATCTTTAAGTCTTGTTTGTAAGTATTTAGTATTACAGAAAACTATGCTATGAATAGAAGGAAGAAAGATGAAAGGAGGGGATGAGACAGGATAATAAAATACGAGGCACAGGTGGATTTCTGAAAAATATAATCAGTCATTATGCCTACATTATATACATATATATATATACAGCTAGGTTGAACCAAATGAAGACTATAAAAGACTATGTTTAGTGAAGAAAATGTTTCTTTGATTGCATGGAGGAATGTTCGCGCTATGCCATCAATTGGCAGAAGTTAGAATTCATCGACTGGCCATTGGATCGAGTCCCAGTTGCTCAATGGTCTACGGGCTAGCTCACCTTATAACCAGAAGGTCCTGGCTTCGAACATTGGCGGTGGGTGCGTACTGCTGAATAGCCGGTCCCAAACTAGGACAGATGAAACAGCCGTCCAGTACTCCTTGCAGGTTTTCCAGTGGTTCCCTAATTGATGTCAGCTCATGATGGAATCCTCCATGCAATCAAACACAAAATCCCTACAAAACCTACACTTGAAAATGCTTCTTTATCGACGAAATCATCTTCACAGGCTGGCTCTACAATCGTATTTATATTTGCCGAAAATGTGTAGTAGTTCATTATTGAGTAGTAGGGTGGGGTTTTCATAGTTGGGTCCCTTTTTAGAAGAAAGTGAAATCTGATTCACTCCTCATCCCCAAGAATAAGAAAGATATGTGCCTGCCTGCAGTGATACAACCGACGGTGAACTGGAGAGACTGATACAAATCCACATGGAAAATGGATATCCTTCAGGATATATCGAGAAAAACATGAAAGTAAAGCAAACACCCGAAATAACCCGACAAAGTGCCGAAGAAACGCCTATTCATAAATGTTGAGATTCTGCAGAACCACTGCTTATCCAGATCACTGAGGAAAGCCTTCTTCTTTTCGGCTGAACTACGGATCAGTTTTTACAGCTAACTAATGATTAATGGATTTGTGAAGTATAAACTACCGCTTTAGATGGCCCACTACAATGTGTGTTGATAAATTCACCTGCTTCTGTGGACCTAGTTATACTGTCCGACCAACATACCGAACACATATCCCAAACGCATCTCTGAACATTAATCTGGTATGGTTAGGAAAAGGACAATGCAAGACAGTTACTAGCTCAATTCTTAAGCACTTGGTGAACTCAAGGCACGCAGCTACACCAGAGTCCTCTCCCAAGATCATCTACAGTATGGGGTCAAATGGGGTACAAAGGGTGTCGTGTTTTGACCTCTGTGTATGGCGGAGGCATTGGCGATTCGTCAATACAACCCCTAACTCTGTATGCAGAAAAGTTTGTCCAGTCGCTTATTCTACCATGGTACTCATCTCTACACTAGTCGTTCCCTGTAGATTTTTTATTTTCATTTTGACTGATTAATTCACTATTATCACTCTCACATGTTCCTTTTTGTACATTTTCTCACCCTCTTCACACTTGTTAAATGGACACTCAACTACCACCTTTATTCTCAGCCATTATCAATTTTAACCTTATCAAATTGCTAACGCTTTCTTCAATTGTGCCGTTGTTGAGTACTACGTAATTTGCAACTTTTTATTTTTACTTCTAAAGCTACTTCTGAGTAATTACATCAATTATGTCAGCCCCAGCCCGTATTACTCAATAATGGACTACTATACATTTTCGACAAATATAAATACGATTGTAGAGCCAGCCTGTGAAGATGATTTCGTCGATAAAGAAGCATTTTCCTCCCTGAATTGCATTTTTGTTTTTTCTTCATGATTCAATGGGTATTTTTTGTGATTTGAAAAAAATGAAGACTAATCATCAAAAGTGTTTTTGCTTCAAGTAGACAAATTATACTGTTCCTTCTAACTTTAGTTGTTAGTTAGATATTCGTCAAGAGAAACCGTTGCAAAACCAGTAGACAGAGCACTGGACAACTACTTCTGTCGTCCGATTTCTGGACTCGTCAGTAGTGTCCATCCATGAATCCATCTGAAGGGAGAAAATTCAGGATCTTTAGGTTGCGACACCTAGCTCATTGTCCATCCAGCCGAATTAGGTTGGAGTTCAGTTACCACTGAACTCTAACTTTTCCACCTCATGGTATAACGCTAAACTCATAAATGACTTTGTTAAGCATTCACTTCACCTTGACCTCAGTGGTCACGACTTCTCACTACAGACAGAGGTTCAGATCATTCATTCAACAGCCATCAATGAACTGGAGGTGGACGTTTAGATTATAGGATTTGTTTGCTTATTGGATTAATTTCAGCTGTTAGAATTTTCCTCATGTGAACCAATTGTATACGGTAGTTTATGTATACACGTCTGAATGCTTATAAAATAGAAGGACTTTGAATAGCTTTCCGATAGGCATTTCTAACACTGCAAGTGTAGCGCATTATGTCGGGGTTGTTGCTATGAATTCTGATCCAAGATTTCGAGCCATTTCACTAGCTGCCTGAAGCCATTGATGATTCTTAGAATTCCAAGGACTTCAACCAGAGGGGAAATCTAGACCTCCTCACTTGGCTAGTTGAATCAAACTAATTGCCAGTTTTCGTCAACTAATTCCATGTACTGATTAGACTACTACTAGCTTATTTTTCAATCTGATCGATGCTATACCAGCCAGCTAACAGCACCCGTGGAGGCAGGAGATGATCAGTTAAGCGTATCACATGTCTCAAAAATCTTAATCGATTCACCTTCCCTCCTTAACTAATATTCCACGCTAAATCCTAATATTGATCACCTTATTACACCACCTAAAACAGGATTATAGGTGACAAGCAGACAGCTATATTCAAAAACACTTTCAGTGGCTATGTCTCACAGTCAGCCAGACAGCCGGCATAAAGCAGGACGGAGCGAACCACTACTGAGCAGTACACACGCCCTTTGGTCGACATCCAGCCGGTCGGATATCACGTCTACTAAGCCAAAGATGTTGTAAGTTGGCTGAAAAATGCCCAAACAGGTCTTCTGTATCCGTGTTGAGATTTCGTCGGCGATCAATCCGCTGGTATTGGCTGGGCTGATGAAACTTCCCAAATAAATGAAGTAGTAGTTAACACACTCAGCCAGCCTCCACTTGCCTCCTGCCTTTCTCTAAGCTACAAGTAGTCGAGATGTATTCCAGTCAGTCCTCGACTGGACAGGTGGTAATGGCATCCCTGATTGGTAGTCAAGTGAATAAGCTATTGATTGACAAATACATATTACTATAAACCAAACTTACCAACTAATAAAAAGTAAATCACATGACAAGAAAGTTCGAATTCTGAGTGAATAAAAATGATTAATAAAGATATAAATTAACAGCCAATAATGACAAAGGTTGTCTGTCTGTCAAGAGACATACATACAATCACATCATCCTTCATGATGGGAAAATTCAATTAAGTTCAATTTATACTAACACCTGCATTGAAGGGAGATGTTGTCTAGCAGGGGGACGACGAAAGCTTCACAATCAAATCATCAATCAGCTGAGAGAACGCACTTAATTCAAAGTCACCCACCTGAGGTACAAATACTTGCCATCAGTGTCAGTTCTGTTAGTACATCTGTGATGAAATTAAACGTGTTTGGAAGCAGTGGACCTGCCCGAAAGGACACAACTTAGCATTATTTTAAAAAAGTAAAATCAATTTGTTTGCTAAATATAGCTCTTCATATCAGCACGGAATTACGGCCAGATAACAACAAGAATTATGGAGGTAGTGACACCATTTGAGAAATGTATATATATATATATATATATATTTAGAATTTGGTATCTATATACATAGTGAAATTATGTACACCTTATCTGCAACACACCATTTGCACAGATCTTCCATGTTATGCCTGCTACTTCTGCGCTTCCTTCATATTGTGTTTCTTTATGTTCAGGTATTGGTTTTTGTAGGGATTTTGTGTTTGATTGCATGGAGGATTTCATCATGAGCTGACATCAATTAGGGAACCACTGGAAAACCTGCAAGGAGTACTGGACGGCTGTTTCATCCGTCCTAGTTTGGGACCGACTATTCAGCAGTACGCACACACCGCCAATGTTCGAAGCCAGGACCTTCTGGTTATAAGGTGAGCTAGCCCGTAGACCATTGAGCAACTGGGACTCGATCCAATGGCCAGTCGATGAATTCTAACTTCTGCCAATTGATGGCATAGCGCGAACATTGGATCGGGTTCCAGTGACTCAATGGTGTACTGACTAGCTCGCCTTGTAACCAGGAGGTCCTGGAGTCGTACGTACTGCTGAATAGCCGGTCCTAAACTAGGACGGAAGAAACAGCTGTCCAGTACTCCTTGCAGGTTTTTCAGTGTTTTTCTTTATTTATGTTCCTTTCACGTCTCCAACGTTTTTTCCGTAACGCCGAATCATCTGTTTTCGTTGATGTCAAATCTATCTCCCTTTTATTTGATGCTTTTTATGCTGATGAACGTCTCTTTATATCCTACTACTGATAAATCTTATGAGTAGCACACGCGCCAAAATGCCATTCAGCATTTGATTTCCAGCCTATGGGTCCTGCATTTGAGTCTCTCTCTCTCTCTCCACAGACTTCAACAACTTGTTTTAAATATCTAGTAAAACTTTGGTGAGAGCAGGCTGCTAGACATTAATTTACGTCAATGTCTAGGTCACTAATATTGACCTTGAAAAAATATGAACAAGGCTGATTCGACAACACCAATCACACCAGACTTAACGTGGACAAATACGATTCGCAGATATATGGCTTAACTTTCCGAGAAACTCGAAAACAACCAATCAGAAGATTGTGTTTGTCTGATTGAATAAGCTATAATAATAATGTACATGAAATACATATAAATACGTGGTGATTTCCGTAATAAAAGCATCTGTTGCCGGCCCTTATCTTCTGTTGTTACAAAATAACTTTGAAAGTCAAAAAAACACGAAAAGAAATACACCAGTCCATATTTCACCAAATAAGATGATATCCACATGGTGGAAATGTAAATATCTGGGTCAGATAATATAATAGTTTGAACACACTCTCATACACTTACACATACACATACACACAAACATTAGAGACACACTTGACCATCAACTAGGTCAAATTTATTTTTAATTGAATCGATAAAAATCAACGGTAAGACATCAAAAACATTAAAAGTATTCTTGTACTTCTTTTTCTTCTTCAAATACACAGGAAGTTCGCGAGAATTATAAATGTTTACACAAATTCGATGCATCTGATTTAGCTACTTATGCATACAATGAATACCTTCGTTTGAATAAAATAAATTCACAAGACGGTGAATTAACTAATTTGGACAGTGAGAATGCAGAACAGATTGTTAATGAATTTCATACAATTATGAAGGTAAGTCACGTGAATTGTATATATTTATATTAATTCTGTTGTTAGATGGTTGGAGGAGGCTGGCCACTGGAAACTTTGACTAGACCTTGGGTTTTGTACTTGTTTAGCACTGACCAGTGAGCAAGACGTATGTGTATCTCCAGTGCCTTGAAAAAAATTAACTGATTCGTCTCTCTTAATCACAATTTATCAAGCGAACTAAGTGTTTGTAATTCGGTATTATTTGAACAGTTATTAAGACTGAAAGATTACTGCACGTTACCGTTATGTTTATTATCTAAAGTACCAGTTGTATTGTGCAGCTTTCCCAGATTTAGTATCCCAAGGCAAACGCATATAACTATGCATACATTCGTAAACATCTTACCTTAATCTATAATCGGATGATAAACTCACTAGGTTCAAAACTACGCTAGTTGACAGCTGCCAACATTACAAAGATAACAGACATCCAGTAAATATTCTGTTATCTAAGCAACACACAGAAAATCTAAGAGAACTTAGAAGTAATGAAAGCCTAATTATCAGCAAGCTAGATAAAGGTGACGGTATAGTTTTACTGGATAAAAGTGATCACACTGGGAAAATGGAAGGTATTTTTTTTTGAATTATCAGACTAACTTAAAATCTCTTGGTAGTTCCAATGACCTCATTGTAAAAGTGGAGAAACTAACTATCGGCTGAACTGAACCATAAAGGAGTACTATCATCAGTCATGTATGAGTTTTTGAAACTAAGGAGTACCAATACTCCACGTCTTTATGGTTTACCAAAAGTTCACAAACCGGGTCTTCTTCTTCGCCCTGTTTTAGATATGTTTAACTCTCCATTTCACGGAACAGCAAAGTGGTTAGTGAAGATACTGCGACGTTTCCACAAAGAAATTGTGCGACACAGAATCAGTGATGTCTTCGACTTAACTCCTTCAATATTTCAGACTAATGTTGGAGATGAACGTTTGTTATCTTTGGATTTAACATCACTCACTATTCATGAATGTACCACTTACCGAAAAGGTAGATTATATTTGCAAAAAACTCACCGAAGGGCAAATTGACTTAGGAATTCCTTTACGTATCCTCAAAGAATAATTTCTTAAATGCACAACGAGTGTGCATTTTGTCTGCAATAATTCATACTACCGATAAGTAGGCAGAATAGCTATGGATTCACCATTAGGCTAAATATTAGCTGACTTCTTCCTAGCTAAACTTGAAAACAGCAGAATGAAAGACATCACCAAGGAGTTTGACATGTATTACTGTTATGTCGGTGACAAATTTATCTTAGTTGAGAGGAAGGCAAACATAGACGAATTGTCAGTGAAATTCAACAACATCCATCTTTTGCCTACTTTCACCTGTGAAGAGGAGCGGGACAATAAAATGCATTTTCTGGATGTCTTGCTAAGTAGGCAAGAAGATGAGTCAATTAGGAGAAGTGTGTACAGAAAGAGCACATTCACAGGGTGATACACAGAATTCCTGAGTTACGTGCCCTTTAAATATGAAAGAAATGTTATTAAGTGTCTTACGAGCAGAATAAGAAAAGATATGTACGGATGACCACATACAAAATGAATTTGAATATATTCATGATTCCTTGACGGAGATGAGCTATCTAATTAGTTTCATAAACAAACATATGAAAACACTGGAAAGAAAACCTGAGACGTAAAAAGTCTCTGTTTATTAAGTTGCAATTCAATGGTGACTTGTCAAGTGAGATTTTATTCCAGAGACTTTCCAGGAGTAAACGAAGAACTTTTCACGCAGCATACCTATGTTTATCATTCTCTAGCCGACGAATGGTTGGGACTCAAACGAAGGATAAACTAGATAGTTTTACCATATCTATTTTTTTTTATCAATTCAACTGCACCTGTGCTCACAGTTATGTTGGGCACACTACTACCAGACAGCTTAGCCAACGTGTCACTGCTGAACATCTTTCATCATCGTGGTTTGGCGAAGGACGGACAAAAAGCAATCCGTAGCTCCATTTTGTCACATTTAGTTGATAGTAGTAGTGTATTGGAAAAAACGAAAGCATTCGAAGTAAGTCATCGTATCGCACTGAATCCTTACAATAGACTTTGTATTCGTCTACCACACACAAGTGAGGCAATAGGAATTCGAACTACTTAGCCTACACTATGCTCATTCGAAAGAAATTCGTATAGACATTATCCCTCCCTTGTTGGCCTATTAAGATCTAACCAACTGATGACTTCTCCACCACCAGACATTACTTATATTTCCAACCCGTCTCTTGTTAACCCTTAGTCTTATCACAGTTTCATTAAAAACGTCCTTTATCTACTTCCCTTACAATCCAGCATTACTTAATCGGTCCATTTGTTTGTCTTTTTTAACCTTTATCGACTCCTGTATCTACCTGAACATTTGTTTGTTTAATCATGCTGTTTTTCATCAGTATTCGTGTGATCACAGATTGCCTCACTTTTTCATCCTTGTTATTGACAGAACCATTATTATCATTATTGTTATCATTACTATTATTATGACTAATTACACAATAAATATGCACAGTCTTATTATCCTATTGAAAAAACACCGTGATTGGTTTATTTCGGGCGTACAACCGACTACGCATTGCCCCGACCATGTGAATAGTTGGTGAGTATCCTTCTGTTAAACCATCCATACACCAAAGTAGAAATGCTTTATGCTCTTTGATAACTGATTCTCTAACTACTTCATTCTAAGGCGCACTCTTCATTTGCCTTTTATTGTAGGATCTGAAGAAGGATCCGTATTTGCAAACTATTACTGCAGAAACTACACAAGGTGACAGTAGTTTTTTGGTAAGTTCAATCATTTCCATTTATTTTGAGTTTTTGTACATGGTGGTTTTTTACTAGAATAATATAAATTCCTCAAAGTAGTCAGATTTCAGTGAATTAAAAATCCCCATAGTATGTAACAACAGAAGACAAGGGCCAGGCAACAGATCGTTTCATTACGAAAATCAACACGTATTTATATATATCACACATACATTATTATAGCTTATCCAAGTAGACGAGCGCAGTCTTCTGATTGGTTGTTTATCAGAAGTAAAGCAGACAAACGCAGGCTTCTGATTGGTTGTTTCGGAATTCTTTGAAAAATAGAGTTCTCTATCTGCGAATCATATTTTGCCACGTTAAGTCTGCTGTGATTGGTTGTTGAATTAGCGTTGTACATACTTTCTCACGGCCTGCTCTCACCACAAGTATTATCTAAACAAGATGATTACATGGAGGATTTCATTATGAGCCGATATCAGTTAGATAACCACTGTAAAACCTGGGAGTACTGGACAGCCAGCTGTTTCGCCAGCCTACTTTGGGACTCTTCATCAGTACACATCCACTGCCAGGGTTCAGACCCAAGACCTTCCGGTTATAAAGCAAGCGGTACAGCAGATTGAAGATGAGGCAGTAAGTCATTGAAAAAGACATTGCAAAATGGTCGCGCAATGTCGTGAATTGTCAGAAGGTACAATTCATGGGCCATTGGATTGGGTCTCAGTGGCTTAGTGATATACGAGCTCGCCTTGTAACCAGAAGCTCCTGGGTTTGAGTCCTGATGGGTGCGTACTGATGAAGAGTCTCAAACTAGGACGAAACAACTGGCTGTCCAGTACTCCTTGCAGGTTTTCCAATGGTTCTCTAACCAATGTCAGCTCATGATGAAATCCTGTAACCAACTAATGTAACTATTTGTCAGATAAATGTTTCACAACAGACTGCCCAATTTTACTTTGAAGTTAACACTGAAGATGTTTAGGAGGACACTGGAAGTTCTGCATTGAAATTAGCTAACTTAGAGAACACAGTGACACTGAAAACATCTACACCTGTGTTAGAAATCTTCTCCATTATTATTGAATATTTATGATTCAGCCGTATATGAAAAGAGTCAGCAGTCTTCAACACTGTTGAAACAGGTCAGGAGATCCCTAGTATGTGATATATATATATATATATAGACCTGATTTTCTATGTGTACTTTTACGTGTGTCTGGTTGTATTTCTCTCACCTAACTTATGATCTTTGCAGTCCTAGTGGTTATTGACTGTTTTAATTTATCTATGTAATTAGTACCTCCCGAAGTCATCGATTCTCATGACACTTGTAAAATTGACGACAATGATATAGGAATCAAATCAGAAATTAAGTATCTTGGACTTATTCTCTCTTCTGATCTCTCCTGGACTCCCCATGTCTTAGCAGTCTCCAGTAAAATATTTCGCTTGACATTTTACATTAAGAAGTTAAGACACTCGGGTATAACTCAACCCCTCATCCTACAGTTCGTAAACTCTTGCATCCTACCTATTCTTCTTTATTGCTCACCCCGGCTTATTCTTTCCTGGTTTGCTTAAAAAGGACTATGTCACAATTCGTAGAATACTGAAGACTGTCAGTAGAGTGAGTGGTGTCCCAGTGGACCACATAGTTAACGTCGTTGTCGATAGGCATTTGACTTCGTGCAATAAATTTGCTAAAGGGATTTTGTCTGACTTGGAGCATCCACCGCACCCTCAGCTTTCACCTTGCATCTCCTCAGGTAGAACAAGGAGTAACTTCAGAAAACTGTATGCTCGCACGTCTAAGTATAAGAATTCTATGATACCATACTTGACACGTATTGTATGTGATGAAAATAGTGTCAGGCTAGAATTAACTAACCTTTTTTCATCTGGTAAATAAACAATTTCCTCCATCCATCCATCCTTATATACCTTCAAGTTTTACTTTTACTATTTCTATTATATTTATGGTCCTGTTACTTCTCTGTTTTACTCTCATAATTTCAAACACCAACTTATCTCCATGACGGCTGTAATCTATTTTTTTTTCCTTCATCATATCATGTAAAGAGAACATTATATTCAATATTTTTAAACATGTTAGGATTTCTATACCACATTGCCAATACTGTGTGACACAAGCCGATGGCAATTTTCACTTGTATTCTTATTATTATTACCCTAGCTGTTATCATTATTATTGCTATTTCCATTTTATATGCTGCATGTTTTTGACACTACCTCTATTGTAAATGTGAAAAATTTTCTGTGTGATTAATTTTATTTATAATTTGGGGAAATTAGATACAATATTGTGATTAATGCTGAAAGTTCCATCCTGTATCACAAGTACTGTTTTTGGAATAAAGTAAATCATTATTATTATTATTATTTAACCCATATATATATATATATATATATATATATATATATATATATATATATATATGCAAGTGCTGCCAGACATTTTCACTGGTGATTTGAGACGGTTACAACTCACCACGTCAAAAGTCAGTCTTCTCTTCCTGTCTTCTTGAGTCACGTTTTCCATGGTATCTTATCCTGTTGTTGTTGTTGTTGTTGCTAATAGTGGTTGGAACAATACGCTCGCGAATCAACTAGGTAGGAAATTCGTTAGGACTGACAGAATTCAGTCTGTACCAAAGAGGGGACTAGACACATCACACTGGTTACACCTGATATCTATGGTCGGCCGGCAAATTTGGGCTACCGATATCCATGCTGAAAAAATTCCATACTTGTACCAAAAATACAGTGTGGAATCAAGTTGTAATAAAAAATTTAAAAAAAAATAAAAATAAAAAATAGTGTTAAATCAAAATATCCACTACAGTCCTACACAGGAAGTCAATTGCGAGCCCGAATAGCTCAGTGATAACGTCTCTGACTGCAGATGGCACTGGGTGACGCGGGTTTAAATCTCAGAGGGGAAATGAGTTCCTTCATAAGGCTTCGCAAATCACCTACCCAGCGCAGAGAACACAGCCATATCATGCATGATAAGTTGCTTTTTGGAGGAAAAAAGAAATGTTAAATAAATAGAATTAAAGAAAATAAATCAATGAAAATAGAAAGATAAAAGATTGATACCTTTGGTCACATAAGAATAATTTATATTTACTGCCACCTGAAGACTACAAAAAAATAAACAATCTGTTCCCATGACAACATCGTTAATCACTTGTTAGATAGCATAAAGTTCATCCTTTTAAAATGCAATTTAGAGACACAAAAAAGTCAGAAAACTTTTAATTACTTGGTGACAGTTAGTAGATAGCTGTAGCACATAATGTGCCTATATTATATATATAGTACAAATCAAAAGCGAATTTACCAACTATTAAGTTAATAATTTCAATTTAATAGAATCTCATCACGACGAACAAACATCAGTTAGAGAAGAGACCCGATTGAGAACCAGTAAGAAAAACACTGGACAGCTGTTTCTCTCGTCCTGTTTTCTGGAAATATTCAGCCCAGTGCATACTCATGACTCTAACACTGGAAAAACCCTGGACATTCCAGGTTATGAGACTATTCGGTCACTTTGGGGGCTGGAATTCAGTCACCCTTGAATTCTAAATTTTGCAACCTATGACATAGCACTGCCGTCACCAATGCCTTCAGTGAGCATCCAGTTCACCTTGACATAGTGGACGCCATTGGTCAAGACTTCTCGATGAAGCTTCAGCACATTCATTCAGCAGTCATCTGTGAGTTAAGAATTGATATTTAGGTTGTGGGGATTTATGGGGATTCAGTTTAATATTAATTTTAGTTGCATACTGGTGAAGAGCCCAAAATGGGACGAAATAACAGTTCCGAATACTCTCCGGTTTTCATTTATCTCTCTCTCTCTCTCTAAATAATGTTCCTTCATGTCAAAGTCCCTCGGGTTCCAAGGAGAACATAGGGCTTCAGCAGAACATCTACAGTTTGTCCCGTCGTCTGTGGTCATCCCTACCTGACCTAGGATTTCCTCATACGATTTCCTCATTCATGTCAATCATCAGACACACCCAACTTATCGCTTTTCATTAGGGCTATAATCAAGCGGTGGCCTGGAAGGCTATGTCACCCAGTAGTGTCCTTAGTGTGTGGCCTAGCCATCTCCATTTCGTTCCACATATTTCCCCAGCAAAATGTTCTTGATTGCTTTGTTCATTGCCGGAGTACCTTGTTTGTAATTCTTTCATGCAGGCCATCTGATCCCCAGTATCAAGTCGGCGTATTGGCGAGCTAGCGATGAAAGTCTGCAGTTGTGTGTGTTACAAATGCTTTTCTTTTCATGATGCATGAGACAAATTTCTGACTCATCAGTAAGTGACTCGGAATCAGTGTTGAAAATCTGGATTTCGCTATTTATGCTGAGTGCAGAAGATTTCCATACACAGATTTCACGGTGATGAAGGCATGTCTTGCCTTTTGATTCTGGATGATTTTGACATCCTCATATGTGTCACCTGTGGGTAGTTGTAGTATTAATAGTAACTAGATAAATGAAGGAAGTGACCCTTACGACACAGGGCCGCGAAATCCAGATCTTTTAGAGCCTTCTTATCGATCCTATTGTATTGCTGCCAACTCGCTCCCTACAGTCGAACACATAATCCAGCCCACCACACAATTAGAAATATCACCGCTAGTGACATTAGAAGAAAAACTGTCTTGCTCTTGTATTGCCTTCAAACGCTTCATTGAGTTTTTTCATTGTGTGGTGGACCACTCGACATGCGCCTTCATTGTAATGTAGGCTGTTGAACAAGGCTGATAAAGATTTGAAGCACCATTACTGCATCGTGTTGAAGAAGTTTTCAACACTACCGACGACCTTCTCAACGTTGATGAAATTCAGGTATAGGTTTAACTGCACTGTTCGACTAAAATGATGATTCGCGTAGATTAGCAATTTGATCAGCACATGATTTGCTTTTCCGAAATCCAACCTATTCCGGTGGGGCTGGTGGAGTGCGTAGTGTGCATAGTATTTTACTTGGTCTATTATTGAGTAATAGGGGTGGGGTGACATAAATGATATAATTAATCATAAATGGCTTTAGAAGTGAAAAGAATTAAAAGTTGTAAATTACATGGTACTCAACGGAACAAAGATAGAAGTTTGATAAGGTTAAAATTGCTCTTCGGTGAGAATAAAGGTGGTAGTTGAGTGTGAAGAGGGTGCGCTGGCACTTTATCAATACAACCCTGAACTCTGTATACAGAAAAAGTTTGTCCAGTCTCTTATTCTAACTTGGTCTTAACCTCTTCACTAATCGTTCCCTAAAAAAAAAATTTTTGATTTTTTCTTTTGTTTTTTAATTTTTAATTTCACTTTTAGTTTGCTTTTGCTTTAATAATTAATTCACTATTATCACTCTCATATGCTCCTTTTGTATATTTTCACACCCTCTTCACACTCAACTACCACCTTTATTCTCACCGAAGAGCAATTTTAACCTTATCAAACTTCTATCTTTGTTCCATTGAGTACCATATAATTTACAACTTTTAATTCTTTTCACTTCTAAAGCCATTTATGATTAATTATATCAATTATGTCACCCACCCCTATTACTCATTAATAGACTGTTATACATTTTTGGTAAATATAAATAAAACTGTACAGCCTCTGAAGATGATTTCGTCGATAAAGAAAATATTTGACTTGGTATGGACTGCAGGATGATCCAGTGCCAGTTCTTGCAGAGGCTAAAGTTGTGCTTCTTTGACACACTAGCAAATAAGCCTTTCTCCATTTAACCTGAAATTGATAATTGGTTGGATCCCTTTTTCATCAGAATTAGGTCTTTGAAGTGCGACAGTCAAAAACATAGTTATCATATATATATATATTATCATGTATGTATTAATGTATGTGATCTGGCAAAATCAGTCAGTATTGACCTGGTCTTGTGATAAAATAATAAAATACACATGTTAACATGGAAAATTAACTGATATTACGTAACCCAAGCACATATTTGATTTACATTTGTGTGCAGGCTTGTTTCTACTATTATTATTATTATTTTATTACAGCTTGATTCGACACTGCATTTTTGTACAAGTATGGATTTTTTTCAGCATGGATATTGGTAGCCGAAATTTTTCAGGCCGACCATAGACCGTATTAGGTGTGCATTGGCAGGGGGATCGAACCTCGGACCGTGTGCATGGTCGGCGAGAGTCCTAACCACTGTGCCGCCAACGCACATTTCTGTCTTCATTTCAGTTGCCCTAATCGCAAAATTTACAGAAATGGTGTTGGCTGTGGTCACAACTGACTACAACAGACAGTATGAATCGATTGAATAAAGCACAGGATTATTACACTGGACATGTCTATTTTCAGTACTACGAATAATAATAATAGTAGTAGTAGTATTTGTAAGAGAAATTAACAATATATTAATTTTATACAAAAATTCGCTGTAATTGAATTTAACCAGAGGAAGAACAAACATTGGTGCAGAATAACACTTGGATCCACTTTATGTTTTGTTGCTTCTCATCACCTGCACACACCACCATCTATGATCATCTTTAATTGATATAAGTTAGAGTAAAATCTAACGAGCATATTACAGGAGTGTCATCGTGAGGTAGCACAGCAGAAGGAAAAAGTAGCTGAAATGCAAGCACATATATGTAGATGTATCTTGTTGGAGAGAAGTTTCTAGAGAGTTAAATTGACTAACTTGTTGTTAAAGTGGTGACAAAAATAAGTCATTAACAATAACATAGTTGGATAAGAGAAGATCAAAATTGGTGTGTGTGTGTGTGAGTGAGAGAGGTCAGATGAGAAGACAACGAAGATGATGATGATGTGATTTGGTTGAGCAGAACTCATAAGGTGAAGAAGAGTTATCTCTTATGGAAGTCAAACAGGCGAAAACACGAAGGGGGAGCACTGAAACGATAAGTCAGTGAAGTCAGAGAACCAAGAGTTAGTAAGAGATGAGTCACGAGGATGATTGGACTCCAACTTCAGATTCCCTCTGACATGCAGGTCAAGCTTCAGAGGTTTGATTGAGATAGTTCAGCAAACTGATAGAAGACTTTAGCTACTACGTCTGTTAATTATTTTGTATGATCCCAGTGAGTCTGTCTACTAGGTGTCCAGTGTTTATCAGGTGGTTTTGGTAAATGGAGAGCTTAGACTGCTTGGCTCCTTTAATAGGAAACTGCTTGGTACATGTTCGAAGAATCTGACGTGGGGTCTTCTTTCTCTTCTTCCAACGGAAGTGATCTCCGTGATACATGTGAATTGGTATGCACTGTTGGGGGGTAACTCGTGAGAAAAAGTGGGACAGTGAACATCCCTCACAGATACCATTGATTGTTATCACAGTTGTCAGATGACAACTATCCATAGGCTCTGACCTGGCTGATTGGCTGACTTCATGAGTTAGAGTAAAGCGTGATGTATTGTCTCGGTATCCCTCCCACAAACAAACACCGCCATAGTACCTCTCGGTCGACACAATTCAATATCGCTTTCAGGTCATGAAATATGACAGTCGTTGGACGCTGACAGTAACTATACCTATGTTCCAGAGTCTGTCGAAGGATGAAGATAAGATCAATCAGTACAGTCTCTTCCTGGTCTAAAGCCCGCCTGGTTCTTTCTAGCGTATTTTTTTTCTCCCGAGAAGAATGCCATTTTACGGCATCTTAACAATGTTAACAGCAATCAAATTATGCTTAAAGTATACTTCTGCACTTCACCCTTCTCTGTGTATTTCGCATTTCATTTTCTCTTCCCCCATTTTTCTGATTAATTCAGAGAAAATTTATCGAGAAGTCCAGTGAATTATCGACTAAAAATGCAGTTAAGCGCTTAAAACACCATCATACATTTTGTCATCCAACTACAACGTTTCAATTAGGCGATGATGAGACAGTTGGTAATGTCAACAATGCAACTAGAAATAGAAACACTACTACCTCTAGTAGTGCTGCTGCTGGTGGTGGTGGTGCTGATCGTGCCGGTGCTAACGGTACTCTCGCCAATCATCATTACCATATTAACAGTAACACCTATCACTCAGATGACAACCGGGCCAGCAATAGGAATTCAGATGTCTATCGAATAAAATTGTTGAACAGATTGGCTTTCGAAGTAAATTCTCCAACGACTATACCTGAAGTGAGTCTTCTTACCTACCCACCTTCTCTTTGTGTTTTTTTTTGTTTTTTTTTTTTTGATGTTTCATACAAAATAAAAACTATACAGATATGAATTTCAGTAGAGATTTTTAAAAGTGAAAAAGGATTCAAATGGAGAAATAATTACCTTTCAATTAGATCTCATACTTGATAATTTTAAAACAATACGAGAAATTTTACTAATTATCCAATCGTGGTGGTGGTGGTGGTGACGATGATGATGATGATGATAAGTTTGTTGTTAACAATAATTAGTCAGGATTTCATCATAAAATGACATTGCCTGAATAGAGGACCATTAGAAAACCAGCTGGGAGGGAGTGTACTGGACAGCAGTACGCACCCACTGAGGTTCAGATAGATAGTTACCTAGATTATAGTGGGAAGTTGTGACCAGTGGGTTACAGTAGGTCGGGGGTGTGAGGGCATATACTCCCCACCAATGACATTGGCCAGTGCCAGTCTCGATATATCGTGCTTGAATTGTCAGAAGTTGGATTGGTAGGTCCCAGTGGCTTAATGGTCTACGAGCTCGCTCGCCTTGTAACCGGAAGGTCTTGAATTCTACCCCCCCCCGCCCCAAGTGGAGTAGAAGCGTACCACGGAAGCAGAGTCCCGAACTAAGACAACGGAAACAGCTGTCCATTACTCTCAGCTGGTTTTTCAATGGTTCTTTAACCGATGTCAGCTCATGATGAAATCCTGTATATCAGTATTATCGCGACGAACAAATCTTGTTTATCCCTTGCTCAACCATTATGCAAGACAATGTTCGCAAATAGGATGATGAACCTGCCTAACTGTATGTCCAATATAACTAGCTCCAATAGGAACAGTGGCACTGGTAGATGCACACAGAGGAGCAGACGAAATTAGATAGTTTGTCCTTATTTCTCCAACGTAAAATAGGTAGTGAAGAGGCAAAGTACCGCCTCTGCTGCATTGAAAGCTGTTTTAACTGTATTCTTCAGATGCTCTCTGTATTACTATTTCACTGATGTCATCATTAAGGAACTGTAGTTTTATGAATAAGAGGTCTTTTGGAGCTGTTGCGTTACTGACTTTTCTTGGTTCTAAATTCATATTTTTCTTAATGAACTTATCTGGATAACCATTTCTATGAAGTAATTCTCTGATATACATATTAGAGTAGAGCCAGAGATGGGGATCTAATTAAAAAACTGGATATTTCTTCACCTCAACCCTTTTGTCTTCTAAATATCTAAATGCGAATTTTTCTCTTCTTCTCTTATCTGAGTAGCTTGTTAAACGATGAGCAGTAGTGAATTAATTAATTTACTTGTTCAATGTAAAACTAGATGTTCCATACTATTTAACAATTTCAATAAAACTATTTATTATTATTATTATTACTATTGTGAGTGAGACTCATTAACTTCAAAGGAAACAATGAAATAAGGCGCTTCTCGTTTTCAAGTGGTAAAGCCAATGGCATATTTATTTCAAGTATGCACAAAAACAATCGAATGGCCTTCACAATTTTATGACATTCTGATTTAACTTATCGGTAGAAGACGAAAGACATGGTGCACTTCTAGACTTCATACTGTGGGTTTCTTTGGGTTACTTTCACAAGTCCCATATATCTCCCTAAGGCTGTATAATTTGCCTTCTCTGACATCAAATGTATCCCTTTGCTATTTGATGTTTTTATGCCAATCAACATCTTTTTATATAGTACTGACAAATCTTATGAGTAGCACTCGTCACAGTAGGACCCTACAACTAACTATAAAAAGGATAGCTCTACTTAGAGTTGTACCAATAAATCGTAGTGTTGAGGGAAGAATTTGTTGATTCATACATGACACGGTGTTTATATAGGTGGTTGTGGCCACCGCAGAGACACTGGGATGAAGATGCAGTGGACTGTAGAAAATGACCAAAGGTTAGGGCATTAATATTATCACTATGGTAAGTCTCATAATACCACCAGCTACCAAACTTTATACATAAAACAGTCAGGGTACAATTGTGGCGACATATTTCTTTCCCAAGGAAATTGATCTACCAGAGTGTATAGTATAATTGTATAATTGAATGAGGAAGTGGCTTCCTAACTAACCGCAAATTGTGAACAGAATCATGATGCGAAAGCATGTCCCAGTAAGGCTCAGTGAAAAGGTGCAGTAAAAACCATCAACTGTTCGATATTAGATCACCTGGTCCAAACCTGACACAAAGCGAGAATTAAAGAATTCGTCTCCATCATCATCATCATCTACCTGATACAAAATAGGTTGCCAAAAACATCCAGATACTGGATACTCCAATCAGCTGTCTGTCTGTTTTCGACATAGAACTTTGCACAAATGTGCGGAAGTTCAAGTCGCCACATTCCGTGTAGCACGCGAAGCAAGAGAAGAAAGTACAAGAAAAGCATAATAGAAACAGTGAGCAGAGGTGTGAGACAGAGGAGTAATAAAGAAATACAAAACAGTTTCATTGAAGATCATAAGTCACAGGGAGTGGATGCATCTGCGCCACTGAGAACGGTTTTGAGCCATGTCACCAATTGTTTCCAACCATAGATTTTTACCGTCCTTTCTACGTGGCTTAGACCAACTGTTGTGGATTTCATTGACTGATGCCAAGTTTTTGTTTGACCGCCGCTAGCTTTTTTCCATCCTGACCCTATATCCGCTAATATTGCTCGTCGAGGGAGGCGATGGCTTGGCATACGTAACACATGTCCTAACCATCTCAGTCTTTGTAGCTTCACGACTTCGTCGATTGATTTCCCCTGTTTACCTAGAACTCTACGCCTAACCTCCATGTTGCTCACCTTATTATGCCACTTTACACGGGAAATAGAACGCAGGCACCTATGATCAAAGACAGCTAGTCTTTTCATGTCTTCCACTCTCAGTGGCCAGGTCTCACAACCATAAAGGAGGACGGAGCGGACTGATGAGCAGTACACCCGCCCTTTGGTCGATAGTCGAACATCTCGTCTACGCCAGAGTCGGCGTAAACTGGCAAAAGCGAAACGAGCCCCTTGTATTCGTGCTGAGATTTCGTCAGAGATCAACCTGTTGGCACTGGTTGATGGTACTTCCCAAATAAGTGAGGCGGTCAACGTGCTCTACCACTTCACTTCCTATTTTTAAACTAGGCGTCAATGTAGTCCAGTCCTGTAACATCATCTTGCATTTGGCGGGAGCGAATCGCATGCCAAACATTCGTAGATTGCGGCTCAAGGTGTTTAGAAGACTCTGCATTTCGTCAGATCAGCAGAGGCTATTGTAATCCGCCTGAAACAACCAGCGCTGTGTGTGTAAGAAGAAACAGGTCCAGACAGCCACTACTATTGATAGCTTGGCCAGCCGCCTTCAGTGGAGACTATAAATTCATGAATTCGTCCTGATATCTTTTCAAGTTTCTGTGATATTTATTCAGTGTGTAGTGTTATGTTGATGTTATGGAAGTGCAATCTATTGATATCATCATCATCATCATCATCATCATCATTATTGATTCGATGTTATTTAAACGTCAACATTAATGTTGTTGTTAATAACACTAATTCATTCATTCACTATTATGGATGGATGGATGGATGTATAACTGTAGAGTTATCGAAAAGAGTATTTATTCTTTGTTCAGCATCTATCCAATTTTTTTTAAACAAAATTTTAATGGGCATTTTCTTTCATATCTCTGAAAAACACTGATTGATCGCGTTCAGCCAGCTTGTGAAGGGTTTTATTTCTGTGTAATTTTATCATTTTGAAGATTTAAAACCAAACACTTCATTTATTCAAATTTTTTTTTTAAAAAAACAAAACACAAAAACAGAATCCTCAAATCAATAATGATGCTAATTTATCACCGCTGATTGGAAAAAGTAAATATAAAAGACTGCATGCAGAAATAATGGATTTACACTCAGGGAAAAATCAAAAAGGTGAACCTAGTCTACGAAGTAAGTTCATAACTTTATTAATATTAAATAATAGTAGTAGTGAAACAAAACAAGACAAGGGCCAGTCGACAGATCGTGTTTATTAAGGAAATCAACACATATTTATGTTCAAGTGTTGGTTTGTAGGGATTTGATTGGTTTCAGGATTTCATCATGAGCTGACATTAGTTAGAGAACCATTGGAAAACCTAATGTCAGCTCATGATGAAATCCTGAAACATATTTATGTATTTCCATGTACATTATTATAATTATAGCTTATTCAAGCAAACAAATACAGTCTTCTGATTGGTGGTTGTTTCTCACAGAAAGTTAACCTTGTATCTCTTTGTGACTGTTTCTTGAATGTCAGATCATCATCTATGTGTTAACTGCATCCGCCGCCTACGCAAAGCCTTTGTTCCTATTTTCCTCACGATCAATATTGGGGACATAAAGATTGAGGTAAATGACTGTCAACCAATTTTGACTAACAGCCAGCTCTCACCACAGTAGGACTTCGAATCTGTGATAGTCTGACGAATCTATGGGACTAATACAGGTGTAGGAATTTGGGCACTGTGGTGGTAGAATGTGTAATTCCACATTAAAGATAAGTTTATACTAAATATCACACACACACACACAGTGATGATGCAGTATTAACAACTGGACGACGGTTCTAGCACAGTTTCTCTCTCATAATCACATCAATTCTAGTCACACAGTTTCATAATTTGTATTATAAAAGTATATCTTCTCCCCCTATTCTGTCTGTCCAAATTTCCATATCTCCGGTATAAGCGGCGGCGTAGCGTCATACCGATTGCTGCACGTGTGCGGCAGTGATTAACCTTTCTCTCTCTCTCTCACTGGCAGGTTCCACCTAACTATACTATATCACCTTTTAGTAATCTTACTCTGTTCCACCTAACCTATTGGGTGTAAATACATCCAAGTGAATGCAGTGAAATGGTTGAGCTCTATTTTTCCCAAAGTTATTAATTTAACTCAGCAGAATCAATTATTCTAGTTTCAGCTAGATTTTCATGTTCCAGTAATAAATCTACTTGACCCCTGCCTATCTACTAGTTTGACTGTCTCATGCGTAATCAACCTCACTTACAGTCGCTAGTAGACGGTATTTGGTATGTTATGTTATTTTTCTTGATTGGATCTATTGGGTCCTTGAGCCGACAGACAAAGTTTATCTGTCAGTGACTTCGTTGGTTGATTTAAGTGCCACCCCAGCTAATTCCAGCCTAATTGAGAATCCCAAGCAAGGCCTCTGGCCATCCCTTTTTATACGGCAGTACTACAGAGACTTTGAATTCTATATTATTTCCGTCATTTTCATTGCTAATCTCAGTCTTTCCATGTTTGGCTCTTCATACATTTTTGAATAAATTCTGGTGGGCGGTGTGTTATTCACTAGAAATATTTCTTTTATTTGTTGGATTTCAATATTTAAATCGTCTGGCTGACTACTAGTTAGGCACTTTGCCCGATTCTATAGACATTTAACTGAACCTATCCTTCTTTACCGATTCTGGATGGGATGAATTGAAGTCTAAGTATTTATAAGAGAGTGTGTGTGTGTGTGTGCATGTGTCGGTTTCCTATAAACGCCAACAAACATCTAACCACTCACCATCTTGTCTTTGCTTGTATTTTATAGTCTAACATGACCAACTTACCTTGTTCGTTCTCTAGGTCAGAAGAGAATTGGATTCCGTCTACTGTTGAGTATATATGTATGAGAAATTGAGGGATATGTTCAGGCTCCAACATCAGAGTGTTAGTTTCACCCCACATATCTCCACCAAAATTTAGTTGGAGCAGGATTAAACGTTCTAAGAGCCTTTTGTTCCCAACTATTTTAGAAATATATATATATCTGTTACTAATAATTCGAAAATCATTTTGAAAGTTACGTCTGCTTTTATTTCTACAGGCATTTGTATTGTTTGTATGTTCGTTCCCATGGTGTCGAGATGTTGCCCCCCTCTATAGTAATTACTTCATCATATAAATTAGGCATATATGCTTCAAAAAAAATCCGATCCCCCAATCCAAGTGATCTAAACATCAGATGAAAATATCACCCCTTCAGCACCGGTATCATTAAAAATATATACTCAAATTCCACTCATCTCAGGCAACCGAATTCAGACTGTAAGTTACTTGTGGCAACTGTCTATACATATGCAAATCACACATTGTTCAATCTGTCACTGGCACACACACACACACACACAAAACGTCATCCTATTTTATTTTATTATTTTGAATAAATTAGCAGTAAGTTTAAAAAAACCCCACCAGACTGAATGAATACAATTCATTTCACCTTTTTTTTACACAACGCATACTAGTCAGTATTATATTTATTATTCCTCTGGATTTTGAGTAGAACATAAGGCTTCAACAGAACATCGTATTCCATACCGTTCTGTGTAGTCCTCTTTAGCTAATTCAAGATCAACCCATGAACATTAAACTCCTCACAAATAGGCCTGCATGTCACTCTTAAATTGACGACCAGTCGTTTTCTACTCGAGCGGTAGATTAGCGAAAGATGCTACTCAGTTATCTCCCCAACATGTGTCTGATTCGTTTCAACTCCCTTCAGAATATTCCCTTATTGAGCAATATAGGTCCTTAATTAGTTTATTCCCAGAATTCCTTGTTGCTGATTCTTTCCACCGGATATCTGATCTTCAGTATCGAGGCAGCAAAGGGAGTTGTAGATAAAAGTCTCCACCATTATTATTATTATTATTATTCCATTGAGTTCTGATTGGAACATAGGCCTTCAACAACATATCACCACTTTCTTCTATCTTCACATGTCCTCTAAAGCTCACTGACCCCACAACTGCCCATAGTCCCTCGTCTCATCTTCCAACTCACACGATCTCCCCCACGCCGACCTCACGTTGACCACCACGTCGTCGCTTCCTATTCACTTTCCACTTGAGTGGTAACGTGTATTGTGCATGATATCATTCGACTGCTTCTTCATATATTTTTGAATAAATTCTGATGGGCGGTGTGTTATTCACTAGAAATATTTCTTTTATTTGTTGAATTTCAATATTTAAATCGTCTGGCTGACTACTAGTTAGGCATTTTGCCCGATTCTATAGACATTTAACTGAACCTATCCTTCTTTACCGATTCTGGATGGAATGAATTGAAGTCTAAGTATTTATAAGAGTGTGTGTGTGTGTGTGCATGTGTCGGTTTCCTATAAACGCCAACAAACATCTAACCACTCACCATCTTGTCTTCGCTTGTATTTTATAGTCTAACATGACCAACTTACCTTGTTCGTTCTCTAGGTCAGAAGAGAATTGGATTCCGTCTACTGGTAACATTCGGTTTCTATTGTTGCCATTTGTTAATTCTTCTTGTATTCTACCTATCCTTCTCTACAGCTCCCCAACCTTAATCTCTCTTAGGTTGCTACTTAAGAAAGAATTTGTTTGTTATACTGTGAAGGGCACTATAAGCTGTGAGTAGGGAGAGTGAGTTGGGTGTTGCTAAAATAACTCGTTAATACTAATTTGAACTCCTTTAATAAATTAGCAAAAATTTTAACTCTTGTCAGACTCAGAACATCCTCTGCATACACAACTTTGTCTTTGCATCTATCTCATATGAAGAATGGGGAACTAGAAGCAGCTATAGGAGACTGTACGCTCCGAAGACCAAGTACAAAAGTTCTACAATACCTTATATAGCCGGTCAGGACACATTTTATGTGATGAGGAAATTACCAACTTACTGAGGAACTCTGAATAAGTGGCCCCGTTTATTTTTAATCATTGTTACATTGTTGTCAAGAAAGTCACCAAATTTAATTTTATATTCATTTTTTATTGAATAATATTATTTTTTTTCCTTCACGTTCCCCAGTGGAACATAGGAAGGGCTTCAAGCTAGTGGCTTGAAGTTTCTGTAGCAGTGTTTATTTTACAGGATGGGGTTGTTAGCCTCATGCCCAAACTTTCCTCTTTACCAGCATTATTTCTGGCTCAGCGAGGTAAAAGAATGCGTCAGTGGTCGGCTATCGAACCCCAGAACATGTGCATGGTCGGCGAGCGTCCTAACCGCTATGCCATCGACGTACCGAACAATATTATAAGTGTTCATTATTATTGCCCCTTTAATGAGAGAGTTAAACGCCAGATTGTATTACATGCTGAAAATTCCATATTTTTACCAAAAGTATTGTTTGGAGGAATAAGGTTATTATTATTAATACGTATCAATTTAAAAACAATAACACTCATTCTTTCCAAACAGGTGAGTGACGGTATTCCATCTTCTAGAGTATTATAACTCTACAACGGTGGTACAATTCAACACTAGACACCAATGAATTCTCCGTTTGTGAACAGCCATTGATTTCACCTAAGTCTTTAGTACTCAATAATGACAGCTTTGAATTAGAAAAGAAAATTCCTAGAAAAATACATAAACACTGACTGACCTATCACTGTGTGTACACCTCTCAATGCATACATATCCAAATCACCCTTACGCCTACGATTAGTTAACTCTTGCATCCTACCTGTTATTCTCTATTCTTCTCCCTTAGTTTTTCCAGGGCTGGCCACTGAAGAAGGACTATGCCTTATTACGCAGGGTGTTAAAGATTGTCAGCAGGGTAAGCTACGTTCCACTTAACCAGCTTGTTAATATTCTGGTTGACAGGCACATGGACTCATGTGAAAAATGGGCTAAATCCATTTTATCTAATTCACAACACCCTCTTCATTCACAACTCTCCCCTTGTATCTCCTCAGGCGAAACCAGAAGCCTACATAAAAAACTATATGCTCGTACTAGTAAGTACAAAAACTCAACTATACCCTACTTAGCTCGTGTTCTGTGCGATAAAGAAAGCATTAGGCGTGATACCTATAACTTATCAGGTAGTCAGTAGAACAACTGGATCTCGTCTTTCCAACTCATATCATTTATAGGTACAACGTGTTGTTTCTTTCTTTCTTTTCCTTTTCTCTCTCTGTTTTCTGTTGTGTGCTGCTTTGTTTCTTTCTTCCATACAAACTCTATTTAAAGCGTTCTTCTTCTTTCTTTCACACCATGTATATCTCGACCATTTTGTTACCGCTTACGCCAGTAAATGTGCTAGCACCTACTTTTCTAGCACCTTCAAACACTCTGTTCAATTTTGGCTTTCCTACCGACCAACATGCCAATATGTTGTCATAACTAACTGAGATTGCCCATAATCTATGTAGAATTTTATTTATTTATTGTTAATGTACTGACTGGATGCGATACTTTAGTGAAATACTGAGAATTCCATTCTGTATTAAGAGTACTGTTTTGAAATAAAGCAAATTATTACCATTATTATTAATTGCTTCCGAACACCACCAATGGATGTGCCTATAACCACCACAAAAGCATTTATAACTATATATAGTATCAATCCATTATATAAACAGTACTTAAGAACGAACACTTCGTGCTATAATAAAATGGTAAGTCCCGTTAATCCAACAACTAGTAGACGTTCAAAGACAGTGAGTGGGGGTGAGTTCACAATCCTAGATTATTGCCATATTTTAAACTCAGCAGAACGCCCACGCACACTGTTGCTAGTCTAAACATTGATTGATTGATTTATTAATAAAGTATTTCCCCCTTAAATACGAAGCGTCATGTACACATCATTTTATCAAAAACGTCTCAGCTAGTATTGACTTCGTGTGCACTGTATACACTTCGGGGTTGAACTGTAAACACCTGTCCCACTTCAATATATGTGTAAAACTTGGGTACTGTGGTAGTAAGTAATTCCATATTAATTTGTTTATTGCATGTATCACACAGTCAAACAGCATTATTTACTGGATGACGTTTCGAATAAAACTTATTACTGTTCATAATCATTTCATCAATTATAATCAAACGACTTCGAGACTTGAGTCTCAGAGTTTTATTTGTTCTCTCGTATTTTTCGTCGTTGGGGTAGTAAAATTCGCCAGATACCCAACTGGGCAGGTGTTGAATCATTCCTATTACACGTGTTGATTCGGTAAACAAACCTTCCGTTGTTATCAATCTCTCCCTCCACCCTGTGACAATAGATTTTAAAATTGTCATCTTGTCCCATACTATTGCATGGTTTTGTGTAACTACAGGTACTGATATAGCTGAACTATTCTCCAAATTTCTTATCTTATTCGGGTCAACCAATCTAGATTTTGCTAGATTTCTATGTTCGGCTAGTCTGACTGCCTCTGTTCTACTAGTTTGACCTATGTATCTGACCTGACAATCATTGCAGGGTACTAGAGGTAAATCAAATTGTTTTGTTTTTAAAGTTCCATAAGATTCTTCAACCGAAAAAGCCTGTTTTTAACTGAGTTTGCGGTTGGTTTGAATGGCCAGCCACTTTTATTCCTGCCAGCATTGTTAAGAATTCTGTGTAAGGTGGTTTCCGAGGTTCCTTTCTTGCATGGAATTACTACTGATGACTTAGATTCTTTATTGTTGGTGTTGTCTTGCGCATGTTTGACATGCATGTCGTCATTAATACTACTATTATAATAATTATTATTATTACTATTATCACTATCACTACTACTATTATTATTTATTTTATTTTTACAGTATTCTACATACTTTCTGACTAATTTATCAGGGTAATTATTTATTAATTTTCAAAGCTTCTCTTGAATACCTCACTTAGATTCTTAGATTCTTTATGCTGCTGCTTAGTTTTTCTGCACTATTTTCACTTAAACATTTCACCAATCCTATTTTCACTGACATAGGATGGATGGGATGATCGAGAGTCCAAATATCTCTTTGAATATGTGGGTTTCCTGTAAACACACACACACACTAGTGTGTTTAACTTCCCATCTTCTTCCCGCTTTTACGCTGCAATCTAACATTGGAAGCTCCCCTTCCTGACTTTCCAATTCATAAGTGAATTGAATTGCCTCCACCTTTGAGTTAATGTGTTTGAAAATATATATATATATATATTCTGTGTTCTAAGTACAGTGAATGTGTCATTTACATACGACCTCCACCATACTTTTGGGGAGGGGGTGAACTTGGGTTAACCTGTCCCGCTTTCTTTAATGTGCTCTAAAGCTTTGTACCAACCCTCCCCCCACCCGCCCGTTACCACGAAATGTCTACAGTGTGCCCAAAGAAAATGTTAGCTAGGCTGTTTATGCTAGTCAATGAAACGCATCGATGTTTGCACCCCGCCCCAACGCTCCCTTACTTACTTTACCTTCAATTTACTTTTCACAGCTTCCAGTTCTACAGGACGATTTGAAGTGGTGTCTGTGGAATGCCCATCAGAATCGATATATACTAATACAGAGAGACAAGAGAAAACTGCCGGAGAGAACAGCAATAACAACAACAACAACAACAGTTCCACACTGAAGTCTATTGTTTGAATTTACTGGATCAATTAATTATCATCTATATAATCTTTCAAAAAGTATATAGATTTTTTTTAAAAAAAATACTGTTTTACATCACTCTTCTCTTTCAAATTTTATCTACAATATTTAATAAAAGATCAGTGCTAAAACAAAGTTTTCATCTTTTCTGCTGTTGTCGGGCTTTTTTGACAGCTAGTTTCGCCCAGTCTCCATCACACATACACACACACACACACACAAATACACTGAGACTAATGGCCTAATGAATTCCAAGAGAAATCAGCGACAAGAGCAATATGATCACTAGGGAAATAAGCATTAGGCAGGCCGAGTTTATCTTCATCTGGGATGAATTCAGCATTGTCTACTGCCATTTGTTGTATTATGCGCTGTTTCATTTGTTTCAGAGTGTCGATTGGCATAAATCGAGTACACTTCAACTCAGAATCTGTATTATACAATATCACGTCTAAAGTACTATTGAATTTAGGTACCCAATTTGTAAACTCTGGTGGATTATTTGCATAGACTGATTCAAATATCGGTTGATAGGCAGTTTTTCCCTGAGATGAATGAATAGGATTGTCGTTGTTGTTGATGCCGTCGGTGGTGGTGGTGGTGGTGGTGTTGCTGTTGTTGCCTGTTGTAAGAGCATGATAAACAGATGTACCCGGTGATTGATTAATATCTCCACAGAAAATAATTGGAATTGGCTTTCTGGAGTAGGGGAGAGAATGAGCAGGGAAACAAATTACATGCATACATTATATAACATTAACGAATGGTTATCAAATTAACTAAGTTTTTGTAATCCGCACCCCCCATCACCCCAATGAATGAAAAACAAAACGATTTTTTCGTTTTTTACTGACGTTAACATACTCTGATGCGTCAGTAGCATAGCGGTTAGGACGCTCGCCGACCATGCTTCACATGGTCCGGGATTCGATAGCCGACCACTGACGCATTCCTTTACCTCGCTGAGCCAGAAATAATGCTGGTAAATAGGAAAGGTTGGGCATGAGGCTAACAACCCCATCCTGTAAAATAAACACCACTGCGACAGAAACTTCAAGCCACTAGCTTGAAGCCCTTCCTATGTTCCACTGGGGAACTTGAAGGAAAAAAAAGATACGTTGATGATACTTTTGTTGTGCTATTAACGAGATCTACACAATTCATTCTTGAAGAAACTGTGCACAACCTATCTCCCAACAACATACAGTTTACTTCGGAAGCAGGCAGAATCACACCTCGGTGAACTATCATTTCTAGACTGCCCAGTTAAGAGAAAGGAAAACGGACATTTTAGTATACCTATATTCAGGAAGAAAACCCACTCCAACAAATATTTAAACTTAGAATCGTTACGCCTCATCGATGCAAAGACATCAGTTGTTTCAAGTCTTTTTAGACGAGCACACTATGGAATGTTAACGGATGAGAAGGAAAAAGCGGAAGACACTCTCAAGCAAAAAACTACCCAAAGAACTTCATTACCAAAACCCAAACCCAACAACATTAAAAATGGTCGAAAACGTATTCTGAAGACATGGATGGATCTCAACAGTTGTCATTCCATATAGATCAGAAGAAATGAACACCGTAGAGCATCAGTTCGACACCATCGAGAAATAAATCCAGTTAATGAACTAGAAAAGCTTGAAAAATCATCAGCCATAGGTCGTCTACACGCTACACTATAGAATCAGGTCACAAAATTGATTTTTACAGTATATTGAAATCATCATCCAGAAAAAGCGTTTCACAAATCACAAAGAACGTCTAATATCATCTGAAGCACTCCACATCATCAAATGGATGGAATCCAAATCGTCTGAACTGAATAGGAATGATGGACTAAAACAGAATTTGAACTAGTTACAACATCCCGCCCGGCCCTCCATGAAATGACGAAATCAACACGAGTATGACTGATAAACAATTTCGCTATGTAAGCACATACTGCTTTTGTATAATTTTATACACTTATTGAATCCAACAGTCATCTACACATACTTGATTTTGTTATCTTTACCAATTGGTAAACTTGACAACGCAAAAATTATCCTATGCTGAGGAACGATGATTAAGTTGTTATGTGTATATATAAGCTGAATGGATTTTGTAAATTCTTCTGGTTTAATATTACTCCTTTGATGATAAAGCTATTAGCAGCGACAGCATTAAACAGTGAAACGTTCTCAGTGAAAACGACAATATCGTTTTGTTTTTCATCATTCACTGGGAAATGCAAAAAGAACTTTTATAACAATGAATATCGTATACCCAATACCCAGATTTTTTCAGACTGTTAAAAGTGAACTTGGTTTGGACATATATAAGTTTAAACATAATAATAAACAACGTGTGTTGATAAATTCACCTGCTCGTGTGGACCTAGTTATATTGTCCGACCAACATACCGAACACATATCCTAAACGCATCTATGGTTAGGAAAAGGACAATGCAAGACAGTTACTAGCTCAATTCTTAAGCACTTGGTGAACTCAAGGCACGCAGCTCCACCAGAGTCCTCTCCCAAGATCTACAGTATGGGGTCAAATAGGGTATAAAGGGTGTCGGGTTTCGGCCTCTGTGTATGGCGGAGACATTGGCGATTCGTCAATACAACCCCTAACTCTGTATGCAGAAAAGTTTGTCCAGTCGCTTATTCTACCATGGTCTTAAACTATTCACTAGTCCTTACCTGTAAAAAATAACTTTTTTATTTTTGAATTTTCAACCTTACTTTTAGTTTGCTTTTACTTTAATAATTAATTTACCATGATCACTCTCACATGTTCCTTGTGTACACTTTCTCACCCTCTTCACACTTCTTAAATTGACATTATAATTTATGCGTACATACACTTCCTATGCTTTAATTCACTAAAATGAAAAGTGGTAGCCTCTATCGAGTGTTAAGTAAGGAAAGAGGAGGGGAAATCAGTTGATCAGGTTTCGAAGTTACATCGATTGAGATGAATGGTTAGGACATGTGTTATGCACACCTGTCTGCCTAGCCACCGCCTTCATCGACAACGGGAAATGTTAGCTGACTGACATAGGATCGACAAGGTTGGAAAAGAGTTAGCTAGTGGTAGTCGAAACAAAACAAGGCTTCACCAGTCACAATGAGATTAACAAGTTAGCCTTAGCCAGCCAGCCAGCCAGCCACGTAGGGAGGTGAAGACTATCCTACCGTCTGGTTGGAGTTGTCTGGAATCTAAGAAACAATTTCTGGAGACAAATAATGATATTTTCAAGTATTGGTTTTGTAGGGATTTTGTTTGATTGCATGGAGGATTTAATCATGAGCTGACATCAGTTAGAGAACCACTGGAAAACCTGGGAGTACTGGACAGCTGTTTCGTCCTAGTTTGGGACTGTTCATCGGTACGCATCCACCGGGATTCGAACCCAGGACCTTCTGGTTACAAGGCGAGCTCGTAGACCATTGAGCCTGGGTTCGAATCCCGGTGGGTGCGTACTGCTGAAGAATCCCAAACTAGGACGAAACAGCTGTCCAGTACTCCCAGGTTTTCCAGTGGTTCTCTAACTGATGTCAGCTCATGATTAAATCCTCCATGCAATCAAATAATGATATGGCTGGCTTAAAGTGATCGTTCTCGGCGATGGTTGGCGCAGATACATTCACTCTTTGTGATTTATAATATCCAATAAAATTATTCTTCTTGCATATGACTATTCTCTTTCCAAAACTCTCACACTTGTGTTTATTATATCTCTGTCTCTTGTGAATCGTTGTCTCCTCTCTACTCTTACTTTGTATGGTACATGGAGGAGGAAGTGTGGGAAGCAACTGGAAATGTTGTGTACATCTATGCAAAGTTCTACGTTGAAACCAGTCAACGTCAGTCAGTCAGTCAGGTTGACAACAGTAAAACACAAAACAGTTACACATTGAGTGCACTACTTTACTCACTTAGAGGCTTGATTATATTCCATAGCAAGTTTTAGTAAATAGTGACGAACTGTATGCGCTTGAATCAATCGTAGGGAACTTGCTGACGGATGGAAATAGAAATGTGTATTAGCGACAATGAATAAGGCCGGTGTTGATGATGGCGATGATGATTTTGTCCGAAAAACACCACCAACTAGACATTGTGATAAAGATTTTTGAATATGAACATCAACATCCTCTTCATTGAATGAATGTTCTTTTGAAGATGCAGACTTGAAGTCTGCAGGAGTTAAATTCACCAACATATTTGATAAGAATGGGACTGTAGATGCATAATCAAGGATTGATGGTAGATAAAATTGTGAGACAAGTTCAAAACGAGAACTAGAGTAGAAAATTGCACAACCTTCACCCTGCGAATGAAAAAATGCAAATATCATTATTGGGGATAAGGTAATGTTACTGAAACGAATTAAAACAAGCTTGTATGGTCAATACATCGTTAGACAACACAAGTAGTAGTCCTGCAGATGATGCTAGTCCTCCTAGATGACGACGTTGATAAAATACAAAAGTCCTCCGAACACCAAATTATCGAATGTTTGAGATGAGATTCCCCCCTTTCAAATGTCAGATGCTATATTAAAGCGTTGGATCACATAGACTACTTCTAGCTTAAAGATGGAGAGCGAGTGAGTGAATTGGTGGAGCGTGTTGACTGATCAACTCCCTGATGGTGGCGAAAGCACACCAAGGATATGAAACTCTCGTGTGGTGGGCATCTCTTCTTACTTCCTGGATGCCAACAGCACCGCGGAAGTTGATTCTTTTTTCTTCGGGTATCTGAAACAGACAGAGAATAAGTGTTGTGTGACTGCAGAGCCCAGGGGAAACAAATGCTTCAGGACAACCGGTCACACGAAGCCTGTATGAACTGGCTTTTTGGTTTGGCTACGTATTAGTAACTTACCGCCAGCTACAGGATAACCGTAGGGTAAATCGGGATGCACAATTTTCGCAGTCGACCTTTTCCAACTGCACCCCACTCTCTCCAAATTGGAGAGACAGCATAGCTAACAT